GTTGGATTGTACCATTTAAGGAGTTTACTTTCTGAGTCTTTCGAAATACAAAGTTGCCAACGTCAAAGCGACTCTCAGACTATGAACGATCGGCCGGACTATAAATGGGGCACCGTGGCGAGGGGCGTACACCGTTATGATTAATCGTAGATAATTTCACGATACACTGATTATTTTTATTCACTGTGACTGCATCGCTGATCGGCGGTCGCTTTGTCATTATTCAGCCGACTCTACTCGAAGGGCGCCTTTTAGACTTTCAGCACATCCAAAAATTTTATTATAATAATTAAGTAGTTTGGTATTTGCATTTCTTCACTTAACACGTTTTACCGACACGATTACTTCATATATTTAAGTTTTTAATACGGAACTGTGTTATTCGCTCGTTGAAAAACATCTGATACGGTCGGGTCATAGTCAAAAAATTCATATGTCGCGCTTTAAACTACGGGCAATATTCAAAATTTTTTACGTATTCCGTGGTAATTCGAATCTAAAATGTTTGTTAAAAGAGCGACGTTCATACCTTTCCAACAGCCACGTGCCATTTCGATTGGGTGCTTGTCGTTATATACGCCATATGGTCATATTTATCGGTTTCAAGGGTATTTCCTAATTTTGTTTAGTAGATAACGTGTTTTAAGTAGTTAAAAATAAATAAACATTTAGATACAGTTTGGAGTTTACGCGAGTAGTCCACATTTAAATAAAACACTTTAACGGTTTAAAACGTGATACTTATATATATTAGTTAAACTTATTTGAAAGTTATTTTTAACTTCGGCCCGACGTTTCGGATGCATCGAACTCTCGCTGTGACCACGGCTGCTGCAAAACATCCGAACCCCGCCGAAATAAGTTCAACTTAACGGTTTAAAATTAAACAAATAGGTATACTTATCCATTATATTAGGAATGAAAAAATTATGTAAATTTAGATATTTCTTATATTGAGTGCACCATAATTATTTTATTAGAAAATATAAGTCCTAAAAACACATTAAACTGAACATTCCTAATAAAGGCGCACGTGAAGTACTGACACGTGTCCTAGTGTATGGCCGAGGTTTCGTTGAACCAATAAAAACCAATTTGTATAAGCACACATTTCCCACAAAACCCACGACAAATAGATCACTTCATGTCCGGAACAATTACCGTAAAAAAATAATCTTGCGCAGGCGCGTGGCCGTCGCGTGCCGCACACATTCGTATTTGTTTGAATAATGTCATTAGAATTAACACAGATATGCTACTCTGTTCAGTGACTCGATGTTGGCCACGGCTTTCAAAGCTTCTGTATATTTCCTAAAAAATTCTGTCAATATTTGTAGCGGTAGAACATGCCGTCTTTAGTTTGAGTGTTGATATTCTGTTAACAACAAATTATATCTATACTAATATTATACAGCTGAACAATTCGTTTGTTTGTATGCACTAATCTCGTTTCGTAGGTTCGAATTGAAAATTATTTTTGCGCTGGACCATTTCTCGAGAAAGGCAATAAAATATTAGGCTGCGAACATGAAAGAAATATTCTTCTATAAATAATAAAAAAAAAACTAAAACAGTAACTTTTTAAATTAACTCACAAGAAACGTTTTTATGGGAATCAGATTTCGTCGAAATACTTCATATGGCAAAAAATCTAAAAGTCTAAAACCGATACGCGATTACACTTTACGGCATTTTGGAACTTCGTTATTCCTATTACGCATTTAATATTCACAAACTTGTACCCGAATGAATGATGAGAATCGAACCCCGATCCGTTCATTATTTGCCATTGCTACCGTTAGATCAACGAGCTCGTCTTTTAATTAATCCAGAAAGTGCAATATAGTGCTAATATATTAATTTTCCAGTATGGTAAGTAGAATACTTTGTGGCGGTTTAAAAATGTCCTCTGTAAGATTACTACTACTACCCCTCGGTTGTATTTTGTCAAGTCACCGTGAAACGAGTAGTGATTTATCACAGACGGAAAGAGGGTAGATGACCAGTTTGAGGGACGTTTGCCCTCAACCATTTGTTTCCTTTGATATTCGATATGTCGTCGAGTAGATTTGTCAATGTGTGACAATCGTGATCATACGAATTAAGAGCTATATTTAATTATAACTAGCTGTGTCAGCGAATTCGTTCGGTTAGAATACAATTTTTTGGTTATCACATTTGCTTGTGAAAACCTCCTCTTCATCTTTGTCTTAAAGCTACCCACGACGTCGTTCGCGTCCCATCGTTCTTGCAAGTTAATCTTAAAAGACTATATATAAAGGTGGTACCGTTTTCTCAAAATAATTTTCCCCGTTTTTTTTTTTTACTTTTTCCGCTGTTTCTCCGCTCTCATAAGTCGCATGGCGATATGTTACAGCCTAAAGCCAAAAAATAATAAGTTCAAATTGAAAAAATATTTTTCAATTCCTGAGATTAGCGCTTTCAAACCAACAAACAAACTCTTCAGCTTTAAATATTAGTAGAGATATAGTAGGTGCTCTTGAATCTGAATTAGTTTTTAGAACACACTCAACACATGACACGAACAATAGTACTGATTTTTTTATTTGTTTTTAGTTTTTCTTCATCTACTTCTATGTATCATCGTTAATCGAGGCCCTGGTCGAAACCGGTACTGTTCAGAATGATTTACTAAATGCCCCTTCGCTCGAGAGCACCCTCTATAATCCGAATTATATGCTGCGTAGCCCTCGACTGATCCTAGGCCCCTTTGGGTTGGGTTATTGTTTTCGCGATCTTTCGACTTAATAATAGCTGCAGCACAATTGATATTTTTATTTAGTAATATCTACCAATTTATCCTACTTTTAACCAAAGTACTTATATTGCCTCCTTTACATATTTTTTAAGATGAAAGCAAAGCGTGTGTCGTAATTTTTTAAAAGTACCCGCAGTTTTTCGTAATCGCAGCTAAGCCCTACTTAAAAGTGCTAGACATTAGGCAGCCCTACTAACGTCACGGTAATAGGGATTACTCTCAGGCCTACGATATGGGAGAGGGGATATTATTTCACGGCGCGTTTGACTCGCTTCCGTCCCGTGATCGTTACAGTTAGGCGATAATGAGCGCGGTACATGTTTGGAGGGGGTTACGTTTTTCAGGTTCTTGTTTATCCTGGTTATCGAGGACTTCATTTGCTTTCTTGTTGTGATGCATAGGTTGTTTTTTTTATATTTAGGTCAGTACCTAAATATTTATTGTGAATTAAAGTATTATAGCGATTAGTAACTACCCATTTAGATAACACTCTTTTACTCTTAACGATTCACAATGTGAAATATATTAAGTTATTTTAACTTCGACTCGGCACGATGGATGCTTTGAAGTAGTGTGCTAAGTTAAGCAATTGCGGTTTACACCGTTTAAAAGTATTTATTATAATTGTGAATACGATTTACCTGTACCTTACCTACTTACCTATTTTGATTATATTTGAAAACCAAACAATTTTCAACAAAAGGATTTAAAAAGGGTGAAAGTTCCTTTGTTTTCTATCTAACATTTAATTTCATTTGACATTGTTGTTTTTTTTCGTATTAATATAATCTTAATGACGGTGCAGTAACCGCTCCGCGACGATCGTTTCCCATATTTCAGCGAATGCTATTGTACCAGACAAAGCACAGTACGACGGTTAATTTATTTAACTGCGGCGTTAATATCTGGTGATTTGGGTTTCTCGGGAGGTAATTATTTGTTTTGACAAACGCCGCGACTGAGTTTGACTACAGTCATCCTGGCTATTAGGAGAGTTCCATCTTATTTAAGTCGACTTTTAATGACAGGCCCACGTTGACCATGTTTACTCTAACAATGATTAAAGTCAAATAATGTACAATAATTTTAAATAAAGGTGTTGGCTGAAGCAAAGTTCTGCTCAATTCTTTATAACAACAGATATAGAACCTTCTTTCTTTCTTCTCAATTCTTAACTTGTTGAAGTTAAAGGGGAGTTAAATCGCGTAGCAACCTTTTTATAATATTTTCGGTCGGAATCTAACTACTGATAAATTGTACGTGTTTTATTCCACGCATACGCATTTTATTTCGTTTTCAAAATGGCGGCACAGCATTAAACACTCAATTTAAAATTCAAAACTTAATAAAATCCAATCCCCTTTAATTCCGTTATTGTTAAGGGTTTAAAAATGAACTGTAATGTTGAACAATGAGTGCACGAATGGCTAAACTAGTGGACGACATGTGGTTGGATTATGGCAACAGTGTCTATGGCCTGTTACATATAAAACATAATTCAATACGGGAATAGGGAAAGGAGTCGCGTACTGTTGTTATTTAAGTAAAATATAGGATTTTTTTGTTTTAATAAATTAGAATCTCCTTATAATATCTTCATAAGTCTCTCTTATAAAGGGTCATTTGGTCCAACTTATGGATAATAAACCCGTTGTCGATTCGACCTCGTCAGCTTCAAGAAAATATTCTATTTTTTTTCCGTTTTGGGAAATCAGGCTTATCAGGAATCACCTTTGAAAGGCCATAAAGCTTAACTGAGCTTCCATTTTAGTCTAGGGACATCTATAATAACCAAAGTCAATAGTCGACAGCGCATTTCGTTTCGATGTTGTATGGCTGGTTATTTCTCTGTACGTCGGGTGAACGGTGTGTCCAATGTCCTTTGCCATACAAGATGAGAATTACTGCAGCATCTCATTTTTTTTCATATTCAATACTTATTGATTCATCATTCTGATGGACCAACAAAAAGGTACAATTGTTACTTATTTATAGTCAATCGCGGTAAAATTTCTAAAAGTTTAGAGTTTTAGTAATTAGATACTTATTTTCTGATCAATTTGGAGTGTCATTAAATGAAAAAATGCGATAAGGCAGAGACAACTATTCAGAGAATGTGGTGTAACACGAAGTGAATTAACCGTTTGAGGAACGACGCGCCACGAGCTGACGAAACCGTGTTCAGTGCGATTCGGTGACTTACATTACTGTTTGATTGCAGTCACAGAAAAGCCCGGCTACCAGTCACCATATGGGGGAATGGACAATGGAGTGGTGAGTTCCATATTTACTCTACTAACTGTATATCGGAGGCGATCTTTTTCGATTTTCCAGGAGAACAAGGAGTGCCGATATAAAAATCATAGCAAAAAGTCGGACAAAAGATCTACATATTTATACGAAGGCTTTCGGCTCTTGCTGAGTTACATATTATGATTTATGTTTGCGCAAGGGTACGCCCTTTGTGGGAGATATTTGCTGGGTTATTCTTTATAGTAAAAAGATTGTATACTCTTGTGCTGTTTTTACTTCGAAAGCTCCAATTTCTAGTATTAGAAAGTTGAAATATTTTATTATCCTTTGCTGAGGGAGGGGTATCAAGGTTTAGATTTAATTTATTTTATAGGTGCAGTTTTATTTTCTATATGAGTTGTGTATTATATAAAAATTAAATGATATTAATAAAATATAAGTACAAAAAAAAGGAGCCTTATTTCTTTATAATCGTAACGTAGTCTAATCTACTGACTAGAAGCGGCTTAAAAAAAGCCTAAGAGATAATTAAAGTTAGGAAACATCTGCCGGTCCGGTCGCATTCCGCGCCGTTCGCGCTCGTTGCGCCGGCGCATCGCCCGTGGCACGTGGTTCAACTTAGTGTCTACGAAAACGGACGACTTTAATTACTTATACGTATTAAGAAAACACTGTCGAAACAAATGTATTCAAGTCCTATGTATGACTCAAACGTCGAGATATTTCGTTTTTACTTTACAAAATACCTTTGATTCTGAAACGCTGCTGTGTAAGATAAACTTAATGGAGCACGATTAAACCCGGTGCCCCATTGAGGGTCACGGCATCGTCGGACATCCTCCCGCTGCTAAACTCCATTCCTAAACAACACCTGTTCGATAACTGGACGCAATACTCGATTGACCACTCCGGGCATCCTGTGACGCGTTTTGCGTGCCATTCTCTTCTGAAAATAACGCTCGCTGAGTAGTTGATCTTGTGGGACAAAAGCTACTTAATTTGTGTACACGTATTGGAAATAGCCCAGTGGCAGATCCTATTGCTGGCGAACAGATAAAGGGATAGTGGTCGACCAGGCTAAAGTCGATTGTCGAACAAAGCCAAAGAAAGTAAAAACGGAGAACGGTTTGATATAGGATCGCTACAAAATTTTATTCAGTAAATAAATAAAGGCGAATTAAATCAACATGTACTGTCAGCGGATTTATCTCGCTTTCTCAATTGTTGCAGAAATAGTTTAAGTTTGCAACCAAGTTACTCTATATTAAATATAAATAGATTTTCGATTATATTCGTGTACCGTAAGCCTTTCTCGCCGTAAATTTTCGGGTGCATGTAAGGTTATGCGTCTGAAGTCAATCGCCTAAAAGTCGTTCCCGTTTTCAGACAGCGTTTAGTAAGGAAAACACATCGTCATGTTTCTTCCTGAAAGTTTGTAAACGAATCCCCACTTTTGGCAATATAAAAGCATTACGAGTGACGCGGACGGAGTCATTCAATTAAATAAAGAAACTCGCTATCGTTAAGACGTCCATTACATTAGAAGGGTCGAACGTCCTGACTTCCGTCCACTTAGCCTCACGACTCGCAACGTTTTATTGGCGACACACTCGTTTGTTACACGTATCTCTCTATCTTTGCCCTTTTATGGAGCGCGCTATAGAAATTCAACTGCGCTCATAGCTCCTTCTATTTAAGGAGGGGACGCCTTTGCCAAATGTCTTTTTACATAAGAATACGCACGTGTGCCGCTTCTCCTTCGCTCTCCGTGTCCTATTTGATTTGACCTTTGTCATTCTGACGTCAGTACGGCGTGGCGGCGACGTCGTGCGCGGCGGTGAACGGCCACCACCAGCCGGACAGGCGGCATCACCACAACCAGCACCACCAGCACGCCGATGTTCCGCCTCAATGGGTGAGCGCACTTGTGTCCCTCGTGTTCCGCATCTCCCCACTTTCCCCTTTTGTACTGTTTCGCACTTGTGTTCTCTTGCTTTAGTGTTGTTTGTGTTTTATTATTTGATGTTAGTTAGATGTAGTGCACGGTGAGTAGTCGCTAGTTTTTGCCGTCTAGACTGCGAGAATTTGTTTTTAAAAGGAAGTTAAACACGTTGCAGTACATATATTAACATTATTATTTTAATGCTGTAGTTTTGTTGTGGTAGAGCACACATATAAAGTAATAAGCACATAGTACATACCATATATATAGTATATAGTATTACCATAGTAAGCACGAAATTCGGTTGTGTTTTATCATTTGTTCATCTATTTTGCTGCTCCTTATAGCTACTAATTGCAAATATAACTTTCATAGGCCAATAGCGATAAAGTCGAGTCGACGGAAAACATTGTAAAAACAATGAACACTGCTGAAGATGTTATCAAAGAATATGTGATCTATCTCGCGTTGCGTCCTTCACTCTCAATCAGAAAAGTATAATGTGTTGATTAATTCTTTATACTAAACTTAATATGTTGTGGTATAAGACGACGTTTGTGTCACACCTTTTTAGGGTGTTTTAGTATTTACGTTTTAGGAAATGACACTTACCTAACTTACCTGCTTCGAGGAGATTTAAAAGTTCTTCTCCACCTCCCTTCACCCTTGTTTATTAAGAGCTTAATCTGTTACATGAACAGTATGTATCTGGTAATCTTTCCTCCCCGTTCTCCTCGTCACACGAAAGGGCAGCAACCCTTTAGTCTTTCATACTTGTAGCTACTATTCACACAGTATTAAGTGCGCGGGCGCATCCCACCTGGCGTTGTGTGCGCCAATCCCGTGGGACTACATATACGATGCATATTCCGTATGGGTTGGCAATAGAGCCTTCTCGGAAGGTGCACACGCTAAAATTATTCGAAAGTACCTATTAATAGTACACCTTCAAGACTTCTTAAGTTATTCAAATTCGCAAAGAAAATTGTTTTTAGTATGCACGTTGTACCCAGATCCAAACGAACGCTTTCTCAAGTCAACCAACCTACATACATACCTCCCTAATTGCATCCCTTGCGGCACAGTTACTCCGACGCTGCCCCTTTATAAGTGGTTCAGGTTCTCGAACGGGTATGCTACAGGAAAAAGTCCACGAGTCGTTCTCTCGGTGAGATCGCAACCTGTCTCACGAATGTAAATAAAAAGAAATTCATGAAATTCACTGGAACCGGTCGGATGAATGGGTCGCGTACCCGAGTGGCGACTGGTCAAAGACCCAAACAGCTGCTCGCGAGACGAAACTCGGTCGAGATTAGCGATGCACCCTCCCACCTGGTGGAATATATCTTGTGAGAGGTCGAGTGGTGACATTTAGGCCGCAAATGCTTAATAACTCTTTTATCAAGCAGCGTACAGTGTTTTTCCTAATTATTACAAACAGACTGATTTCTAAGTTAAAGTTGTGTAAGCTTACTTAATCTTGACGCGTTTGATTCAAGTTCTACGTAGTTCTATTAATAGTGAACGACAAAAAAGGCTTTGTTTCGTTACGAAATTACACATTTAATTAATTCAAAATTAACTCCACTGTAATCGGTCGCATAGTAAAACTGAATTTCAAGTAACAAAAGTTTGTAATATTCATTTCCAGAACATTTTTTTTTCATACAAAACACCAATACGTTTTTAATTTCGAACCGATTCTAGATAGTTGTTATAAAGGCAGTTCAGACTAGCGACGTGTAAAACTTGTGGTTTTATGTACATTTTTCCTAAGCTACATACTGTATCTGTATTTGGTTAACAAGGTAGGTACTCATGTAAGTTAAAATGTATATGTTATTTTAAACCTATAATAACAAAAAGGTGTTCAATTCCTAATTAAATATGTAGTGGTCTTGTTTCGAAGTACAGATATAAGTCATTGCAATTTAAATATAATCTTAAGGTATATCTTCTTTACAGTGACAAATTTTGTTGTCATGTAGTTTTATGGGTTTATGAATAGAATAACTATTCATAAACACAACCCATAAAACTTTACTATTGTGGCGACGCCCTTATATAACAGGCTTCCACCCCACGTTTCGCGTAAAACGGACCGATTCCTGTAAGTTAGGGTGCGCGGGCGCCCCTTTCAAACGTCCATAAACGCGTCACTTCGTTTTTAGCTTCTACGACTTTGAAATAAATGTACATTTTGTATGTAGGTAATAATGTCGGTGGCTCGAGAGGGGTATTCGATGTGACACAGTGACACTTTTATGTCGGTAATGTTGAAATAAGAATATACTTTTGATGGTCAGAATTTAGGAATCCAGTTATAGAAATGCGTGATTATGGATAGTTTTTTGTTAAATATGCGCGAGCGAAATATACATATTTAATGAAGGTTTAAACCAACCTTCTTACATGTCTGAAATAAACTAAATTACTTTTAATTTTTGGTATAGGACTAAACTTTTTATTTAAATAGTATTTAAGTAAAACGGTTTTTTGACATGCGTATTGGTCGTCGGTCGCCAGACCGTTCCGTGCCAAACCCGACCGGCTACTTGTGGAATGCTTCCAAGAACAATGAATACCTCCATGGTAAACTCCATAATAGTGCCCGAACTAAAAACTCCAATTACCCGTCGTCGATTAATTGCCGAGCGTCTTCGCGAGCAGAAAAACTAGTCTCATTTGAATATAAACAGTACAAAATGTATGCACATAGGCGATTCAGGGCGGCTAGTGCACGCTCGCCGAACCTACCCACACTTGTGAGCCGGCAAGTTGTACCTGACGCGACAGAGACGAGCGTATGCGCCGCGTCCTCTCCGCGAAAGAGACGGCGCACGGGGCAGATGTTCAAAAAATCATGCGGGTGTTTTTTTTTCCGAAGGTGGCTTAGGGTTGGCTTCCTGGCCGTTCGTGGGAAATGGGATTTTCGAAATACGAAGTGTCGTCGAAAAACAATCACGCAGTCTATGACCCGTTTGTGTTTCGCGCCTCCGACAATGGCGGAATGTCATTTGGAACAGATGTTTTATGACGTCGGCCGGTAATGTTTGCGAAAACTATTGTTTAAGGGTATTAATGAAGCGGTTAATTGAAAAGTTACAGTTTTATTGGCTTTTTCGCCGATCGCTTTGTGTCACTACGTTTTGGCGTTCAATATTCCGCCTAATGCTGATGCTGCACTGTTTAATTGCATATATGATCTCAAATTGATATATTGAATTATAGTATTATGTACCTAGAGTTTATAAATGTTTACTCCCTTGTTAAACGATTTGTTTTAAATCAGGGTATATGTCGAATTGAACCTCCGTTCAAGATACATTTAGAACTTCATGAAAAAACTAATAATAAGGCTCTCTTTATATCTTTCTTTCATTAAAAAAAAGACATTATTAAATACATAATTTGAATTCGGAAACGGAACCCGCTAGATGCTTGTGCGCATACGTTTTTTTGCCCGAGGGTTCGCATTCGTCTCTCTCGCGCTGGCGCGCCGTCCCTAGCGCCGTCCCGCTCGTCGGGGGTGGTCGGGGGTGTCAAACGACAGATGTTCATAACATTTTTTGTACGTTTCGATTCGGCCACGAACAATGCTCGAAGATTTTGAAAGCATATGGCGTGGATACAGGTAAAGAAAGGTAATGCGAATTCGTCGAGAACATTTCAAATGAAGCATGGATAGTTGTATTTATTTTCAATGCACCCAACGTTCTTCACGACGGCGATATCCACCGTCAGACCTTCTCCGATAACATTTTATTTACACGCATGTCTAGCTTTAGTCTTGGCCACTTACGAAACATAGTATCCATCTAATCCAGATCAAATCGCTCTCAACTTTTGTTGCTAATTACATCTTCAACTGTTTTTAATCCAACTCATACGTGAATCCGGTAACACCTCAATGTATTTTTATTACGTTACCAATTTATTATAACGCCTTAATTATCATTTGCAGGTAAGTTTGACACATTGTTCGGAGTGAAGACGATTGTAGGGTAGCAAGTAAGTTGCAAAGCGCGAACTCGACGCATCCGGTGAGTGGTCCAATGCATAAGCTGAAACGGTTTCTTAATACTAGTAGTATTTGCCCGAGTAACACATTTTTTCAGCGAAGTAAAACTTTCACGCGATGTCAAATTGAAATTTGTGGTAAACCTACCGAGGTCGAGATTCGGAACAGTGTACTTTAAGCTAAAGTTTGCATCAAGCACGCATTATCTGTGCAATGATGGTATTTAACAAATACGCTTATCGCGCGAACACGTGCCTCGGCCCTCGGCTCATGGGCCAATATTGATTCAAACCGATTACGAGTTGATATCGCGTGAATCGATTTTTTCAATATTTCTACTAACTCTATCTACAAATACAATATTGGTACTATTGAGTGACATTTAGACTAATTGAAAACCTTCAATTAACGTGTTCTCGCTTCACTGCCGACACGGTTAAGACCAAGGGGCGAACAGCCATTTAGTCATGTTCTAATGATAAGCCTCGATGTGTAGTCTGAGGTACAGGTTTCGGCTTCTGATTTTATCATTAACGCGCGCCAATTATATCGTTAATAATAATAAAACGGTTTCACTGTTGTGAAGTTTCGGCAAAGTTAAGTTATGCACGTCGGGTAACCCGACACCGCGGTGACGATGTGGCCAAACTGAATACAAATGGGTCAATTATGTTTCCGCCGCATATTACATGGACTAGCCGCTACCACGAACGCTCCAATTCACTCTCGACTCGACGTACGAGAACAATTGGATATCTGATTTACGCTAAACCGGCGCTGTTCTTCTAGACCAACTTCCTGCGTTCCGTTGTCTCGTATACTTTAAGATCGAAGTTGCCGTCGTCCGATTGGCCTCGCATCTGATGATCTGATGATTTTGCAGTACGATAGAAGGAAACGTCCCCTCGACTCCCACACTCGAGAACCGTCGGTAGCGGTCAACGTTTATGCAAATACTTCGAACAGGTGCGCGATTGATAGTGACTTTTGATTGACCCCCTCGGGCCTCGCTCCGGTCGGCCCGGTCACGTGGTCAAGGGACCGATTCGGTGATGATCTAAATGTCTCCATGTTTCTTGATAACACCGTTGTCGCCGTCGCACGCAGACCGCAGAGACGCAGGTCTCATTCGTTTCTGACGCGCAGCTTTCTTTTTCTGGTTTAATCTCTAATTTTTAATTGAAATAAATAACTCTTAGACTGAAATAACCACTTGTGCCGATCACCGGCGAAGACAAGTTGAACGACCCACGCGAAAAGGCTAAAACGAGGGGAGCTCACAAAGGGATTCGGGAGAGGGGAGCGTGATTCTAAGGGAACCGGGAATAATGCATGCGCCGGAGCACGCGACGAGAGGTCCCGATTTAAGGCAATCCTGCCTCGGCTTTTGTTCGCCTTCAACAGGCTCATACGGTGAGATCATAATCGACTCGCTTTTAGACAAATTCTGCTTCGTATTAAATTCGATACCCGAATACGCTATTCTTTTAAAACACTCAGACTCCACGAATTGTCTACACCGAGCAACAGAAGAACGTAATACATTCAACAAATCGTGTGACGTAATACAAAGTAAATCAACAAAGGAGGACATTAAAAAGTAATAGCTGGTCATCGACTCCCCTATGCAAATACGGGGCCCTATCTCCCCTCCACTCCTTCGCACCATTTGACCACCTGCGTTCACTTACGCCCTGGATGAATAACATCTAAGGACATGTGTCGCTATGCTCGGTGGCGCTCAGTGCTGACTTATCAATTATCAACGTTTTAAGAACACGCATTATAGAAATATGTAGAATCTTAGTTTGTGCTATTCTGTGAAAATTTACTATTTATACTTTAGAAAGATAAATCATATTTTTACATAAACTCCGTACTTTACTATTTAACTCTAAGGTTGTCATTTGTAGATACGCGTGATATTTAGAGGTTAAAATCCGCGCTATAGTCAGTAGCTGTCTTACTGTCGTTGAGGGTAGTTACGCAAAACGCCGAATCAACTTATACAACAGCCTTACGCATAGTTTTATGTATATCTCCTTGTATTCAGGCTAATTATAAATCAAAGAGGCAAAGGGCTAAAGCTTAAATTGGAAAGAAATGAGAAGTCGAACACATAAGGTTCTCGAGGCGTTCGGTTCTCGGCCACCTGCGCAAATCACACGCAGGTAATAATAACGACGCACGCGCCGACGCGGCAGATGTTCGCGCTCGGGCGACGTCGGCAGTCTTCGATCTGCGTCGAGTTAAAAGCGCCTCGCTTTCATGAGACTTACTGACTTACAGGCTTTTAGGGATGATCGTCAAATAATAATTGGTATTTGTAGCCGTCGAACATTAAACAAGATTCATTCCACGTGTCTTTGTTTCAATTGCCTATGAAAATATACTTGCTGAATATTGTCACACTTTCTCTGGGTTCTAGGATCTAGGTCTCTTTCGTATTAATATTTAGAAAAATATAGATCAATCAACTCTGGGTTATTAGCTTTCGAATGAACAATTCTTAAAAACGGTAACGGTAAACCTGGTTACTGCAAGAAAAAAAAGAAAAATCGTATGTATGTCTAAGAATGAGAGTGTAAAATCAATTCAAGTCCTTAAAAAGGTGTTCCTGAAATATATAAATAACTGATTAATCGATTGACTGATTTCCCTTATCACTCACCGATCGCGACATAAACCTGTAAGCGGTTTCCTTCTGGGATTTCGAAGCATACTTTTCAGCCGTATTCCGTACCGTTTCAGCGTATGTCACTCTCGCGGGAGGAAAGGACTTGGCCTCTGTCTTAGTGAAAATAATAAAATGTAAATAAGCAGAAGTTGGAGTTATAAAATCCCGAGAGAGCCGAAGCGAGTGCGCTTATAAAGCGGTTAACAATTAACTTTGTAAACAATTTTCATAATGGCTACAGCGGCCGCAGGGCTGCCACCCGCGAGCGACTAAGTACTGTCTATAGTTTACGCGAGAAAAAATACATTTAACGGTTAAAAATGCGAAATGTTGATATGTGTAGCAGATTGCGCCAGCGTAGAAGTTTTGACCTTTAAATTAAAGACACTCAATTTTTAGTCCCCCCCCGAAACCATGGCTACTTCAAAAGCATCCGAAACGCATTATTACCGTAGTTAAAATGTATTGTAAATAAGTTAACTAATATAGGTATTAGCATTTTACACCCTCAAAATGTTTTGTGTAAATCGAGTTACTTTAAATTATATTTTTTTTTTATGGTCAACCACCAGTTTAACACAAGAAGCACTTTTTATGACTATCTTTTTTCATATGCAAAATCAAAATAGGTTGACAGTGCAATTAATGTAGATGGCTGGGGGTACCTACTTCCTTCCTTCACGAGGTTCACTCGTGCTTGGCTGTCCTCGTCGTGATTTTAAACAACTCTGTCATTGTTTTACTTCGTTTGTATTTTTTCATATAACTTTTCCAGTCAAAACTAATCGCTGCCCCTTTATGTCGCAGTCACAATCCTCTATAAAGCCAATCGCTGTGATCTCAAATCGGTCCCACGTCACCCGTTCCTCGCCATCAAATAGTCAACCCTAAGATGACGCCCAATTGGAAAGAGCAATTCTCTCCCCACGATCGGGCATCGCCCTCTCCTTGTCGCGTGCGCCTCTCGCTCGGTTAAGAGGGAGCGAGGTTCGGCAGCGTCGCGTACACTTGATAAAGTTGTAAACTAAGATCACGCTATGATAATACTATTCACAATTACTGTGCGTCGGCATGTTATTGGTGATTTAAAAATTAATATTTTTAAAACTATTCTTAACTGACTCGATTAATTGACAGATATATATCGGGATACGTATCTCAATTTCGCTTTTCTATCGTAATCTTGCTAACAAGATTTTTATTTTCATCTAGCGACCCGCCCTGGCTTCGCTCGGTGCAATGCTGGTCTTCCTCTTCCTTCCTCTTGAACACTCTCTCTATTTAAAAAAACGCACCAAAATCCGTTGCGTAATTTTAAAGATATAAGCGTCGGTACATAGGGACAGAAGAAGTGACTTTGTTTTTTATACCTACGATGTAGTCAAGTTATTCAACTCAAATAATAAGTGGATAATTAACAATGAAAAGTGTCAAAAACGCTTTATTAGCAAAGACACCGAGCTTTCTTCTAAGTGTGGAGGGACCGGAAAGTAAATAAAAACAAAATAAGTAACAATTTATATGAAATACTATAGAACAAGAAGTAAAAGCGGAAAAATCGTTAGATTTTTAATTTAATTAGAGACATGTGCACTGTGCTTTATTTTCTTTAGTTTCTCGGGAGAAATAATTACGTATAATGTTGCGTAGTCCAAACTGAGACTTTAAATTTCATTTTCTTGTCTGGAAAATTTCAGATTAAATAGATATCTATAGTTCCTACGAACGAATATGTCCATTAATGGGCTCATAATATTGTCACTCGTTTTTTGTAACCCACTCTGCCATATTAGGATGGGCAGATTAGCCGGAGCGTTATCGTCACGTAAATTAATTGTCCATTCGAGTAAATCACGGTGATCGACGGAGTCACGGGTTCACACTATTGATTCTCTAAAAAACTGCAATGAATCTATTAATCTGCTCCATGTACTCGTACAGTCGTTACCTTATCACGTAATGAAAAGAAGAATTCCATCATTTCCTTCGACTTTGCGCTGAATCAATTATTTTTATTGATTAACGAAATTTTAATATCGAACTATTATAATTCACGAGGAGTTTAGATTGCTTTCGGCCTGACCTTCCTCTATAGAGACCGCATTTTCGATCTAACTAGCGTTTGGATGCTTTTCAAAACCAAACACATTAATAAAAAAATATTATTGTCTAGCACGAAGGACTGACTTAGCTCTTGGCTTGGTGGACATCAAATAAAAATAAGTATTTTATATTTATCTTGAATAATCAAATAGGAAGTGTGATTCATATTATCTTTTTCTTAAGTATGCTTTAAAATAAACTTCTAATCTGCATATTTATAATAGTAGCTATTATTTTATTAATAGCGCAAAGTATACCTACCTACTCACCCACAAGCCTATCGCACTTATCTAATAGTGAAGTTACAATATCGTAATTGCTTTGCTCTACATTACTTTGTATCGATAATAAAAGGAAAATGTAAAAGATAGTTTTGACTCATTCTAATCACTGATTAGTGTTTATTTTTTATTTTCACACAATACGTAGGTACGTATGTTTACCTACGTAACTTTAATGAAATTTATGTATTTTTGTGACAAAGAGACACGCTCTATTTTTATTTATTTTTTTTCATCGTGCCTACTATTACAAGTCCGCAGTCCGCGAAGCTCCGCTGAAAATAAAAAAAAGTTGTGTTTGAAACTTTAACCTCATTATTGTTACGTTGTGCGGAAGCGCGGCAACGCAGCGTACGGCTTGGGGTTGCAAGGTACAGTGAGCTTTTTGTTTCCAATTGTAGGGAAATACATATTCAGTGTTAAAATAGTTACATTATTACTATAATAGGATGTTCTTTCAGCTTCAGCACGTAGGTAGGTAGGTATTCTTTAAAACTTAAAACTTTTTACTTTAACTTATATAATGGGAGTGACACTGGACTCCAAAATGCACTTCAATATACATATTGACAAAAACAATAGTTCAAAATTGGGAAAATTCGCTCTCTAAGCCATTCAAAAATGCTGATACCCTAAAGATATTATACAATTCTCACGTTCGTAATATTTTAGAGTTTGGAAGTGTTGTTTGGAATCCAGAGCTGTACATATAGATAAAATAGAAAAAATTCAGCCAGTTCTAAGCTTTGGATTACTTTAGGGTAACTATTTTAACGACTATGAAACTAGGCTTACAAACATACTTACTATCTTTAATAAATAAGGACTCTTTTTCTCTATAAAATTATACACAAAAAATTGACTCAACTTATTACTTAGTAAAATTAATTTCCAAACCACGATCTCCTCAGAAAATTTTTTTCACTAAAATCAATAATAAAAAAGGGTGTTTTAACAAAAATTGTAGGAATTTGGGAAAGATTAAAATTTTCAAAAAAGAGTATAAGAAATTGTAAGTAAAAAAACAAGTCTTTTTTTCCTTCTTTTCTGTAATTAAGAAGTTTTAAGTAAGTAATTTTGAACTGCAAATTGTAACAACCTGAAAAGAAAGTTAATTAATGCAACTTTTATAAACAAAACACTAAAATAATAATATTGCCTCGAAGTATTTCGATAAGGGACATAAAAAGCATTTATAATGTTGTAAATATGATCGCACGCCTGGCAACCCGACGCCGAAGTGAGCGGCAGTCGGCCATGGGCTCGCATTGATAGCGGACGTAACGACGTACGTCACTTTCGCGCCAAAAACATTAAAAAGTTTTTTTACAAGCAACTTAGTGTAGTGGCTACGTGAACTAGGGTGTGTTTACGTTAAGTTTAGAGTCTATGGTAAGGTCTAGTGATGTGCGGAATCCTCGGAAGTGATACAGTTTAAGGATATTTTAATTACTCTATGGATTATTAGACGTCTGTATATTATTATTTTTACGGCTTTCTCGGTGAGTCTGTAGTGGAAACAGATAAAAGTGAACAATTCAAATACGTACTTAATACTTTAAGTTATTTATTCTATTTGTTTTCGTTTGAACACTTGACAATCTTTTTATGCTTAAAATTTTTGCTCGTTAGAATTTTTTAACGGACCTTAAATATTTTTTTAAAATATTTTACAATTTTACTAAAGTTCGACGCGCAATAATTTAATTACATACAATCTTATGAAAATAAAAAAGCTTCTGGATAAATAAAACTATTTCATTTGTTTAAGTTACGTTTATAGTTACGAAGGTACTCTTCAGATCTTTCGAAGTTTAGGACATTAAATGCAATCTTGTTTCTCAAAACTGTGGGACTCAAATCTTTCATTGCGATAACGGCGTAAAGTTGAATTCTCAATATTTTTGGCATTCTTTCATAATAAAATAGATTGCTGCTAATACTTTTATGGCTTTATAATGCGAAATTAGGTAACGTTTTTTTTAACTACAATGCGTGTATATACAAGGTATTTGTTTCACCGTTAACTCATACAATTTTGTAGTATATTTCCCTCATAAATTATGCTAATTTCCAAGAGTTCTGTAAACCACTAATTGATGCATAAGCTTAACTATGGAAAATAGACGTCGATTAGGAAAAATAACATTAAACCTACAGTCCGCGTCCAATATTAAAACAATATTGTTTTAGATAAATACTGATGTTTTATAATAGCTCTTATTGTTCGCCCCAGCTACTGTTCTCGAGGAGAAAGATCTTTCTTATGTAATAACTTCAAGTCGTCTTTATATCTTATTCACCTTTACTGAGACCTTGTTTGTCTCTGTATAGATCCTAAGGTGTTATCGTTCAATTGCCGATAGTCAACTCTACAAACTATAGTTTTTAACTTTTTGACTTGAGAATAGCTAAGTCTAAGGGAAGCGTAATAATTACTACGGTCGTCCTGTTTTAAAGCCTAAAGTATAGATTCAATGCACGTCGATCCGGGTGACGGGAGGCGTTTTCTGAAGAAAAAAATAAGACACTTTTAAATGTTAAAACCGCGAATTGTATTAAAAAACGCCCGACTTCACAGGCAAATTTAAAAATAAGTTAACTAATAGATTTCGCTTTCTAAATCGTTAAATGTTTTATTTAAAAGAACATGCTTATTTAAAAAATTATAGTTCATAACGTATACCTTTATGTGAATATATTCAGGTCTAAATGTACTTATGTTTAAAATGTCGTCCATCATCACTACTCTACTAACTCTATCATCTACGTCCTCTTTGAAGAACATGAAATAATTCAAGAGTTGCAATAGTAAAATAGATACATAATTTATAGCTTATGTAAAGTCCCGGGTTCGACTCGAGATTGCAGGACACGTAAGCTGATCACGTGCTCGCATGCAAATAAAAGCGAACAGTGAAACGGACTATATGTCCGTGTTGCCGTGCGCTATATTAACTCAAGCCCCCCTTTATTTTATAGGGGACTCAGTGCTCGAAGCTTTTGTGTCCTTCGCGAGTTATCCTCGTGTCGAGACGCCCCACGTCAGCGGAACGCGTCGTTGAATATTTGATTCGATCGCGAATAAAAATCGATTCCGTCGGGGTAATTATATAGTGTCGTCGCCGCGGAATCCCACTCGGACGGGCCTCCGTTACGCCTCTAGTAGGTCGATCGATAGAACATTTCACATCGACAATAATTCATCAAACCGTGTTTCGTGCTTTAAGCCCACATTCGACTTGCATTACGATTTTAGGACAAACTAGTCTCTTGAAAGTTCTATATATGACTAGGTAGGTACTAGCTGGGTCAACGACTTTACTTTGGGCTAATTGATTTTTGCAAAAAATACTTTTTTTTTATAAATTAAAGCTGTTACCCACGACTTAGGTCGCGTACCGTCGTTCTTGCAAGTTGATTTTAAAGGATAGACATAAATTCGCGAAATTTTTTTTCATCATGATGTTTCTTTCACAAATATTATTTGGGTACCTTGAACAGCACAAGATGATTATTTTTTCTCGTTTTCTCTACATTCCCGCTGTTTCTTCACTCCTTATTAGTGGCATCGCAAATCAATCAAAAAAAAAAAAATTCCAACTGTAGTTCCTGAAATTAGCACGTCCAAACATTCAATTTCATCAGCTTTATATATAGGTATAGATTTAGACTAATTCATTGAATGGCGAAGAGGCTTGGGTTACTACGGTAACCCCACCACTGAGCAATGCCAGCGGATGGCATTACACCGTATGCCCCCCCGGGACTGGGCCGCGGACGTGTCGAGTTCGACGCCGTAACGCGACACTCACGAAACATCCGCCCCGACACGCATCCGCTTTGATTTAGCTCATCCCAGGTCGTCACCATATCGCTCGGTAGCAGGTTCGAATACAAGTTTAAGAAAAGGGGCGCCAACTCTCATGTTCTTTTAACTGTTCTGTCATAATGTTACTGGTATTTATATTATGAGAACTTATCACTCTTCTATTTCCATATGTAACATAGAATGTACAAGTCCAAGTGCATTGCAAGGCTCCGAACGTACTGCCGAGTAGATCGCAGTGCATAAATGATTCATCCCACACATTCCTGCATAATCGGTCGCCCTTGCCTATTCCGATGGCTATCTGCTTCTTCGGCGCGAATACAGATTCGCGCTCGTTCGCTCTTCCCCCGCTCATTGGGTCTTCGATCACCGGCAGCGAGCTAGTGGAAAAGTTGCATCGGAGTGCGCGTTTGTAATGTTATGCAGGAATGCGAGTGTTCAACAGAAATACCGATTGATACGGCTAGGCGGCGCGCTGTCTACCTTCTGCGCGACGCTCTTAGGCCATTTCACACGAGCCGCGTTTCCGTAACCGCCTAAACACTTGTAGCGGACCCTGAAGAACCTAGGCGTGATTGACGTAAATGTCAGCGTCCATAAATACTGTCTGAAGTTTACGCGAGTAGTACACATTAAAATTTAACACTTTAACGGATTAAAACGCGATATATATTAGTTAAACTTATTTGAAACTATTTTAACTCGGGCCGTAAGTTTCGGATATGTCATAAAAAACAACAACACTATACTTCAATGTAATTGACAAAAGTCATTAATTAATGATTATGAGCTCGGGAGGAGCAACTTCGTAGGATTTTGAGAGCGTTCCGATGTCTAGGCCCGTTATGGCACCTCGCATTAATTAAACGTTATCCAAAGTCAATACAACGAGTGTAATGTGAATAACGCATAATAGTTCAATAAGTGAATAATGGCAAGAAAACGTGCTTTGTTTATTCCGATCTGTTTTCCTCGATGGCAAAGATACGTGGCGCATTATGCTGATTGTGTATGTATACACTTATAGACACATAATGTTCTCGCTGTTTGTTCATATTTAAGGAATTAAAGCTAAGGAAAGCCTTATAATGTCAAAATTAAAAGCAAAAATATAAATATACATAGGTATTGAGAATTGCTATTCGTTAAACCATGAAAGGGACGAGCCAAATAAAGAAATGTTACGAACGCATTTAGGCAAGTAAAAGGATTTTGCTCTATATGTCGTGTATTTTGGTTTACGAGTATGGTAGAAAGTGTCGGCTCCTTACGTCACGAAGCGAATCGAGACAAAGCGCACGTTTGCTTACGCGACGTCACAAGTGACAGGTGTCAGCGGAGTAGGTGGAACATCTGTGCGGTCAAGGCCGGTTCGACTCCCGTCCGGTGCTCGTTTCCGAATTCAAAAGCCGGTCCTTGCTCTACGGCACGAAAATCGTTTCCGGCACTTGTCGCGTATACTTATCATCTGCAGTTTTTGCACTTTGAGATAACACATTACTTTTATAGATTCCATAATGTATACCCATACATTATGGAAAAAAAAACCTTTAATCAAAGTCTCTTCTTAGCGAGGATATATAAGTATATATTAAATACAGTTCAAAAATCAGTATCCTATTATAAAACTATTAAAATATCGTATTCTATCTTTGCTTAAAAATCAACATCAATTAAAATCGTATCTTGTCAACACAAAGTAGTTTCATCAAAACGAGACCGCCGTAAAAACGCGAAAGTATCACGAATAAAAAAAACAAATATAATCAAAAATCCGGGTCACACTCGTAAAGGTGCACGCGACGGGCATCGAACCGGTCGGCGACAGCTGGCCGGCAGGTGCCGACCACTGATGCAATATGTACACGTACATCTACGAATCGAAGCGCGCTCTCAGATATTGTAACTCGCGTCTTTATTGCTGTTTTAGCTCGAAACGGACGTCTTCGTCGTCTTAATTGAAGCTGTCAATATTACAAATTATACAATTTTCGGTAGAAGGAATTTTTTAATTTCTATAGTCACCTGTGAGGGAACTATTCATCTAAAAATTTGTCTCACAAAAAGATTACCTATATACTTAACTAGCTGTGTGCAGCGCCTTCGTCCGCGTATAATGGCTATTTTGGGGCATCAAAATTAGATTTTGCAAACCCAAGGAGGTTAAATCTATAAGAAAAACTTGTAGATTGAAGCTTTTGTCTACGACATCGGTGGCGTCCCGTCGTTCTTGCAAGTTAATCTTAAAAGATAGACGAATAGTGTCGCGGACATTTTTCAGTCCATTTGAAGAGGAATCATTCTTTAATAAATATTTTGTGGGTACCATGAACCGTTTTCGTAGCGCACACTAGGAGTTTCCTTCCTTTTTGCACATTTTTCGCTGTTTTTCCGCTCCTACTAATAGCGGTGCGTTATTTCAATTCGAACCAGTGGATCCTAAGATTAGCACGTTTAAACAAACTTTTCAGTTTTATATATTAGTAACAGATACGACTTATATTTCACGTGATATCAAGTAGGCTTTATTGCAAAAATAGATGCGACCGTCTTTACCCAGAGACAAAAGCCTACCTAATAGTCATTGTCGCCTCGTAGAAGACGCAGTCGTGAAGTTAACAAAGCGATTAACGCGCCCTTATGCACCGAGTGCATCTCTCGATGAACCCTTTTTTGCTGCGCAAGCGCAAGCTCATCAGACCACCGGCGATGGTAACTCGACACTTACCACCTACCACGATATTGCCAAACTGTAGCTTATCTGTATTGTCCTGAATAACTGAATCATAATAATGCTTTGTTGCAATTAAAGTAGCTGAAACGAATAGGTATCACGAAGTTTTCACACTGCTCGCGTTATCAGGTGTCACGCAAGAGATACTGATTGAGCAGCTATCAGGCAAATCGGGGCTGCACATCGCCAGGTTACATTATCGGCAATTAACGTCAGATTACACTGTTTAGCATATCTAATTAATTTAATTTGCTTTTAATTTGCAAAAAATACTACTTACTCTGCACGTTTACAGCGATAATGGCAATGAGGTTTTGTTTTGAGACGGTAATATTTTATGATGTAGCGTCTGAAATAGAAATATTCAACGTGACTTTATCTTCTTATTATCTGAATGCATCCCCTTCGATGTTCCCTTTTTTGATAAAAATAACGAAGCCCCGAACTAGGTCTTCTTCGAAAACGGTGACATCTGGTCGATGGCGTTGAGTGTTGAGTTTTTTAATTAACTTGGCCATTTAGAGATGTTTTTTAAGTTGCCATAATTAGCCATAAATGTATGTAATTGGCTGACATTGGAATATTCAATTAAAACGCGAGGGTTGTGAGAATAGTGTAATACGTGTTGGCCTGCTGACTAGTTTGCTCTTAGCTCAAGAGAAGACAGTCTCGTTCGCTCTCGTACTAGTTATGTGTACGTATGCTATGACAAGTCAGCTGTTACACTGTTACACGATAATATGTAATCGTATCCCGATGAAAAACCATTTTAAACAAACAAAGAAAGTGGCAACTACCTGCTCTCTCTTTGTCGCCGGTTCGATTCCCAGGGCGGTTCGGTGACGGTGGGAAAGGGCCGCGAAGGCTGCAAGGTGTAAATGCGTACCTACGGACGCGCATTCGGTGTGGCGTAGCGTGGAATCGATTTACTAAAGTTGGCTTCAGTTTGATCCTCCGTGTACGCGTCTGTTTCTAACCTAAAGCTTCCTAAAAGGAGAGACGATAACTTCAGCCCGGACCATGTCCGAAGTTTCAACAATCTTACGCATTTTTCTCTTCGAAATTATCCTCGATTTAGAAAGAGGCTTAAGCTTCACGCTTTTAATTACTTATAGAAAGTTCCGTTACCGACGTCGACGAAAAATTATATTAGGTCCATAAATCTTCAATGTATTTATAAAATTGCTACGTACGCCCCGCGGCGCTTCATATCATTTACCTGCTATTTAGCATTCCTAAAGTAGGTATATCTGTGTCATTTTTTTCAGAATACGTGTGAATAGGTAACATCCATACTCACTACTTTTCAATTCTAATGAACCCCAAGGTCGTTTCCGGTTAAGGTGAGATGAGTCGAGTATATAAGATTATTATATCGTGACGCTCTCTACCCCATCTGTCGCGTAAAAAATACAATAAACAGTTAGTAGGCGAGGGAGAGATTACACTACGGTTCGGCTTAGGTTCGATCCTCGTATATAAAACAATATTGCTGGGGCTGATTTTTAAAATATTTTAACTATGACTATTTGACACTTTGATTTCTATCTGATAGAACAAAAGATTATTTACGTAACGTTATAAAAATTGTGCCGCATTTTATATTATTACTGGATACTTTTGTATTTACTAGAATTTGTCTAATAAAACTTCAGACAGCCGCACCTTTGACCGCCAGAACCGCCGCATATTGACAAGTACCATCTTTTTAGAGATTTACTAACGAAATGCATAATATTGAATTGGAATCGATGGTAAAATCTATTTTATCTAATATCAAATTAATATTACCTAACCCAAGATTGCCAAGTGATCGTGTACCGGACTGTATACTTCTTACTAGTTCTTAGTTTTCGCTAAATACTAAAATGACTTAGTTGTTTATTGTGTTTAATAGACATACATACATACATATCTTCCATACAAACTCACCGACAACGCCGTAACAACGACTTATAGGTCAGAAACACCCCGTCGTAAACGGATCACGTGAAACTGTGTACCGTGCGCTCATAGAGCGAGTGATAATGTCAAAGTGCAAACACAAGGAGAATGGCTCTCCGGAATGACACGATGGAGCACGGCTTCCTCCCGGCGGACCCGCCCCCCCACTCCGATCTGTCCCACCGGCCGAGGAGCGACCTCGCCTCGGAATACTTCAACACCTTCAGCCAGATATGCGAGAACTACCGCGAAGACCGCCCCGCCGTCGATAGCATCCGCGTCTCCGCTGACAACTTGCGAGTCACATCCGAGATCCTCGACGGCAGCAGGGAGTTTATCAGCACGGACTTCATCAACGCGGAGTCCGCGGCTTTGAACGACAGGTTCCACAAGGAGGAGCAGGTGTTCCACTTCGGACAGCCCGACGCGTCCGCCCTGCTGCGCGTCAGGGCCAGGCGGAGATACAACGAGGAGCGCGGCATTCCCACCGTCACCAGCCAAGAGAGCGGGGTGAGACCGTCTTTACCACTACGCACGCCTATCTTTAAAGTTCCAATTCGTAGAGACGACACATAGATATGGCATTTTGTCTTCTCTTCATAGTTTAGAATTAACAACAGGCCCGCCCGCCTTCGCCGCTACTTACTTTTTTTCTACTTATGTAACCCCCCCGCGACAAATTTGACTACTGGCAACGGATTTGATGTAATGTTATTAGATTGTTCTAGAGCTAAATTTTTAAGTGGCGAAAACGATCGTGGAATATTTTCGGAGGATAGGGCATGCAAATAGAGGAGAAAAATCTTAAATACTGTCTATAGTTTACGCGAGTAGTACACATTTAAATAAAACACTTTAACGGTTTAAAACGCGATATATTAGTTAAACTTATTTGAAAACCCCGTGGTCACTGTGGTGGGGAGACTGACCTCCCCGTGACCACGGCTGCTGCAAAGCATCCGAAACGTCGGGCCGAAGTTAAAAATCATTTTCAAATAATATCGCGTTTTAAACCGATAAAGTGTTTTATTTAAAAGAAGAATCTTACAGACAATCTAATGAACACTATCGTATAGAATACAATTCCGCTTGTATGTTCTCTCGACGAAAGGCAATCGTAGTATCGCTGAATCTATTTATCGTCGCGGTTATTTCGGCGTGTTTACGTTGTTCTTATAATTAGCGGTACTCATTTGGCCGACCGTGGGCGGAACGCGGACTATGCGCTCGCGTCGCGTCGCTACGGCGACAAGTATCACTTAATTGAATAATTATCAATAAAGATACCTATCCCTCTTTATGGGTATAACGTTCCCGTGTCCCATCTATGGGAACTTCCAAAACGACTGCACTGTGCACGCGGTTAGGTGTGTAGTGTACGCCTGCCGATCTAGGTACCGAGGTGTCATGTTTCCGAATCCATTAGCGTGGCTTTCTCGAAATTAATGGATAAGGTTACAGCGACGAGCGAGGGTTATTTCGAGCCGAGTTTACCATCGATGAGTACGGTACCATCGTGGTATTACCTTCCTTCTTCATTAAAACGTATATAAAAATATAAGAATGACACAATCACTACAGACGACAATAAAGTTAACGTTTCGTCTTTAATCCTAGCTGAGAATTACGAAACTTACTTCGTGTGGTCCAAATAGAGGCGCGGGCGTTTCTCTGTATGTGATCTATGTAAACTAGACCATCGTATGATTTTTTATTTTGTTTGTTGAATTGTAGTGCGTGTTGATGCGTATACTTTTATCAGAACGATAAGACTACAATTAAGAGATATTTCACTTTGTTACAATTTTCAGTAGTTCACATTACTTATGTACTTATGTGCTACCAAATGTAATCATCAATCAAGGCTAATTATTGCTCTTAAGAATTAACTATAGAGAAAGTTGTATGCCTAAATATCGTTTCTAGATAAACATCCGCTTGATAAATAATAGATCTAGAAATTTGAACGATTTCAAGGTGAAATGAAATATGAATGAGAGCTGACGTCTCCGAGCTCTAGCATCTTGAAAGTATACGTCTCATACGCGAAACACGAAATAGCTTAAAGTTTCCGTACATCATTTACTTAATAGAACATTTAGGTAGCTTTAGATCCAAGTGTCGATGGAACTAGCGATGGCATTATATTGCTAATTCATTGCTGTTATGAAACTGCGTCTCTCCGAGTACCTCATTATCGCCCGACAGATAGCGAATATTGATTATTTGCGAGGAAGTTATCAATCATAGTAATTAACGAGAGATATCGGGATGACCTCATCGTCCTGCGACGTGTAAACCTCGGTACGGACCAAATGCTCCCTAAATGGTGTACGGGTACCTACTGTAAAGTAGTATAGTCAAGTTAATATTACTCGGAATTTGCGTGTCGTTAATTTGAACGTGGCTTCGATATGATTCAAAATCGCTGTCGCCTATCGCTCGAGCCACAGCGCCGGCGCAGGAAATGGGTGCATACGTGTGACGTCACGATTTAGGCAGATCTCCGAGAACCGTTGCCGGCTACCAGTTAATATGAGTCAGTTGGACATAAGGATACTTTTGGCCGAAAGACAGCGGTGATACGGATAGATAGCTTTTCTAGTTGAGACTAGAAAGTTTAATAAAGTAGAGGTCTAACATTTGTGTTACTTAAGAATTCACAGTACGATGTCTTTTATAGGATTAAGTAAGATGATGGGTTATTTTACCTTGCATCGAGTGAAGCCCAGGCTCGTCTGTCTACCTCTATCATACAAGATTGATATGATTTACATGAAAGAATTACTAGGAACACTCCGAGATCGCCGAATCTCTCGGAGCACGCCACTTCAATATTATAACTCCATTCTATAAATATGAAAACAGTGAGTCAGACCAGACTTCCTCGATATAACAATCGGACGGATCATCGCATACCTATAAGTGGATGAGATTATCATTTTTCAGCGCCGTTGTACCGTTCCCCACCGGTGGGACGCGCGTTCTCTTGGGAGCACGCAATTTTAAACACACGTTTTACACACCTATGTAATGAGGTACAGACGTGGCCGAGAAACACTAAATTCTCTCGATAAGGAGTGTCAATGTATAAGCAGTCGCAATACAAACGCCACAACTCCCGAGAGTTAATCTCCACGTAATTAGTATTTCCCTACTCGATACGCGCACCCAGGCCCATTGCAATAGTTTCAATTAGTCAATTTCCGTGTCGTAATGGCGCGGCCTAATGCGGCCTAATGCAGCGGACAATGTACCTCGTTACACCGCGTGGCATTGTATTTGGAGTGCTCCAGAAGTCGTGTGCGTTTTCCCGACCCACTCGGTAAAGACTCGACGAAACATTCGTCTTTGCATCTATTCTATACAATAGAAATGCTACTTTATTGGGGAACTTATGAAGACCATTTTGCTCGTCGAAATTAAATAATGTAGAAAATATGGAATCTTTTCATCTACCCGGCAAATGTCGGGCAGTGTAGCAGTAGTGTAATAACAGTGAGCGCAATTACTGACATGTTCCTATTAGTCAGGAGCGTTGTATATGGTCGCGGGTTTGAAACTCGCCGCCGTACACGCCGTGTGTTCGTGTAACGTTGAAAGTGATAAGTTTTCTAATTCTTTCTATACCTTCTCCCAGGATAACGATCGACTAGGTCAATAATATGAAATTGACGACACCATACTCTTCGTTGAGATAAGTTTAGCGAATAACTCGGGCCACCGATAACTCGGCTAAGCGCTGACTAATCGCCGCATTTATTGTGAAACTTCAATATTGTCTCGCCGTTTTTGGCGCGAGCCGGTAACTATAGATAGCCCGGACCGCTCACCGTGCTGGAGTTGACCTATTGATTTATAAACGCTCCGCGCACTGGCCGAGCGTAGGATATTTCGCCGATGACGTTCTCTTACTCAGCAATCTGCCGGCCGAACTAATCGTGTTAATTTTACATTCCAGTACGGCAGCGATGAGTTCGGCCACGACTCGCCCAGCAGGTACGCGTCGCCGAAGGGCGCCGGGGCCGGCGCGGCCGGCTACCAAGAGCCATACTACGGTGGCGAGTGGGCGGCCGGCTACTACCAGCCGCCGCCGCCCTACCACCACGACCCATATGCCACCTCGCCCGGCATAGGCGCTGGAGCGTCCGGCGAGCCCGGCGCGGCGGGTGGCGCGGAGCTGCCGCTGCCTCCGATGTCCTCGTTCCGGGCCGCCGCCCCCGTCCACAGCCCCACGGACCCCATGCTCGTCGCCAAACCCACTATGCAGCCGGTCAGTATATCACAGCTCTAGCAGTTTGCAAAGGTGGCTAAGGAAGGCACGACATTAACTGTCTTCTCGATGCGTGTCCGCAGATGTACGGCGGCGGTGCGGGCGGCGCGGGAGGAGCGGGCGAAGCCGGCTCCCTCTCCTCGTACGGATCGTCGCCCTCGACGCCGGTGCACTCACCGCCTCCGCTCCACACGCGCCTCTATCCGCCTCTCAAGCACTCTCCACATCACCCGCACCACACGCATCACAATGGACAGGTAATTGGCACCATCTGAATGCCTTCGTTTAGTGAAACACTAGTCTTATAAGGCAAGATATTCACCGGAGAAAAACCCAAGTAACATGGTCATGGCCTTACAAGGTAGCTAGAATAGAATATATCAAATACAAAATTATTTTACAAATATACAAACTTAACTAGAGGAATAAATATGTAAACAATAAAATGTTTACATGCAAATACATTAAAGTCGGTTAGTCTTCTCTTTTTTGTGCAGAAAGTGCGAAATTTCTCCCTAATTTGCTATGTACCATTTCAGCAAGCGAATTGGGTTTCGACGGGAGTTTCGTCACCTCCGAGCGCGTCCACTCCCCACGCGCCCCTCACCAATGCGGTGCTCCCGAACGGCCACCACGTGGGAGTCTTCCCACCGCCCGTCATGGTGAGTGCCAATCGCGTTCGAACGGTACTCGAAGAAACTTTGACTCTCCGGACCCTGGGCCAAAGCGATCTTTCGACCGCCCGCTTCGATCGACTTTAGACTTGTGTATAAAATACCTAATAACATTCGAAGTTTTAATTTGGCATGACTCGCATGGATGTTAACTAATTTTGTTTTCGATTTCGCGACTGTTCGAGTATACCAACAGAAAAGAGACCCGCGCTTCTTTCTGTTGTTTTACTCGAGTACCATTTCCTTTTATGTTTTTATTTTGTGTGATTTTACGATCCAGCTTGGAGCTAGTTGACTTTTGTTTAGTGTAGTACATTAGAACTAGTGGTAGAACAATAGCCTCGTCAATAAGACGTATAATCCTAATCGGTAGTTAAAATTCCTTGAACTTGACGCTATGGAAGGCGTATCGTTTGAAATAGCGACATTCGGTAGTTCGGCTTGCTCTGTAAAAAGCGATTAGCTCCAAGCGGTGGCTAACGCGTGGCACGTGCAGGGCGCGCCGGCTGAACAGAGGCAGCTCGACGAGGCCATGGTCTTCCTGCGCGAGCACAACGATGTCGGGGTATGTACTTTGCGCTGCCACCTCCTCGCCGACGCGACGAGGGAAGGTGGACCGTCGTTAAATATCCCGTAGTATGAAATAATAAGTATACGGCTAGTGTATACGGTTTTGACTCCTTCTTTATGTGAGCGACCGGTGCATGCAGTGATCCCTTCTATCGCGCTATCTGAGATGTGGCATGGATTTGTTTCGATTTCATTTTGCTATTCACTTTATTTTAAAATTACGAATTGAATTCTTCATTGACAATGATATTTAGTCACGATTTTTCGTACACATACAAAATGAGTAGCGATAGCGAGTAACGTAGATGTGTGATCAGGGCGCCAGGATGGAGGAGCGACTGGACGACGCCATAAACGTGCTCCGGAATCACGCGGAGGCGCCCGACATGTACCCTCAGGATGTCCACGCACATCAGCCGCCGCAGGGTAAGTCCTGTCCTGTAGGGGGTAGTGGGAAGTTCGCATTCTTTAGAGCACACGTCCATTGAGTACATTATGTGGTTCTTAATCTTTTATGACCCGTATCAAGTGTTTCACGCTCGTCAGTCCGATGGTGCACATAAAGTATGGTTGAAAGGCAACGTCTCGTGGGTTCAATTCCCACAAGATCCGAGGCGTAAACATTAAACGGTGGCAGGAATATGTCAGGAAGCACCGTCCACAGATGTAAAAGTGCCGTATTTCTGAATGCCCAATGGTATTTCACTGTCCTCTGAAAAGTCTGATATTGACTGTCGCAACCGTGTTGCAGCGAGTCGGCTGGGCGGGCTCGCGCATCTTCAGCCTGAACCCGTCAAACTGGAGCGGCATCTATTACCCAACACAAGTGAGTTCCTCTGCTTTTCTATCTATCTTCTTGCGTCTTGAAAACATTTTACACACTTATAATAATATACGAACGAAAACTTCAGAAAAACGCAAGGAGCCCCCAGACTCGGGCCTGGACTCGAAGCCATCGTCGTCGGGCTCCGCCGACGCGCTCGCCAAGCCATCCTCGAACAAACGATCGCGCAGATAGTGAGTTCCACAGATTTCATATTACTTTACGAGCAACGTAAGTGGGTGCCGGCTGACTTGTGGCATTAAACAAGACACTTTTCGCATGCGGAACCAATAGCGACCGGCACTCAACTTTCGCGTCGTAAAGTGTGCGTTATAAATAATAGGTTATTCGACAAGCTATTACTGAATGTCAAATAGCCTATTAAAACGTCGACTCTAATTTGTTCCTTTGTGTTTCGAGATTGCGTATTATGATACTGATATAAAGAACAGTTTGTCTGTTAGCTGCTCGTCCGCGGACGAGGACGAACTGGATCCGGACGCGAAGGCGGCGCGCGAGAGAGAGCGGCGACAGGCCAACAACGTCCGTGAGAGGTCCGCCATATTTTTCACTTGCGCGCGCCGGCGCCGCTCGCGGTGGCCCCCGCCGCTAGCGAAGCGGCGCCGGCCACGTCCCACCGGCCTGCCCGACTATAACATACCAATATTACAATGTTAATAACAACGTTAAAAACAGACGTTTTCTTGCTCAAATGTTCGCTGCCACAATTATAATATTGGTATGTCTCATATAACGTTGTAAGATCGTTTTCTTCGTTTCTTCCCGCGTTGTACACTGCTCTATGTTCAAACCTCTCGCAGAAAACGACCGACAACTCACAAATGTGATCTTTTGCAACAGCGTAAACTGTACGAAGTACTAACAAGAACCGTTGTAAGTTTCAGCTTCATCATTCTAACAAGACATTTGGGGCGTAGTGTATCAGTATTACCTCTAAATACATTTAAATCTTCTTATCTGTATGTATGCTTTGCAAGGTAAGTGAAAAATGGATAAGTGAGTGACTCATCGCTTCATTGGCAGTACACGTTGCCTAACCTTTATTACCTCATCCGCTAACATTCGCACCCGCTTCACCGTCTCGGATGGTATTTCGAACGGAGCCTTTCCCATCTAGGTGGTCGGCCGTACTCTCTCGCGCGCCGTCGACGACTGCAAGGTAATCGGTGACACAATCTACTCTTTTGAAGCGATTTCTGCTCGATTTAGCTGCTTTAATTTAGCTCGTCCGCGGTTCGAATCCTGTTAATATGAAATATTTTTCAAGTCTACTTTCCAAAGTTACTATTTGTCATAGTAAAACGTGTTCAATGAACATAGGAAATAAGGTATACATTTGCACGTTAGTTGCTCGTCGGCTGACGAAGGCGACGACGACTTGGACCCACAAGCGAAGGCGATCAGAGAGAAGGAGAGGCGGCAGGCCAACAACGCCAGAGAGAGGTACTCCCCCCCTTATTTTTTAAGAGTAGTTATATAGAGTCACTTCCATCACTTATCTATTTTTCAACTGGCAACTATTACTGCCGTACTGCGTCCCTTATTGTATGCCAATTAACATCGGTCGAGATATCATGATTTGTCAGTTTAGTTGCAAAGGCCGTGTAATTCAATATTTGTATAAAACTTTAAATCTTTCTTTGTCTGTATAATGAATCGGTTCGTGTCGTGCGGCAGGATACGGATAAGAGACATAAACGAGGCGCTCAAGGAGTTGGGCAGGATGTGCATGACGCACCTGAAGAGCGACAAGCCGCAGACGAAGCTCGGCATCCTCAACATGGCCGTCGAGGTCATCATGACGCTGGAGCAGCAAGTCAGAGGTCGGTCTCTTGCAACGTTCTTCTTTATCGGTTTGAATTTAAAAAATAAGTTTATCTCTTCGATCATTAAGAGCAAAGATACAATAGATAAAAAAAATCGCAGAAAATTATTAACTTTTTAGGGGTTCTCGTTGCGTGAGCTGCGAAAACGGTTCCAGATACAAAAATATATATGAGTCAAAGAATTGTGCTCCTGTAAAAAAATATCTAAAAGTTGGCCGCCTCAGTATCCGCCTGTCTTTTAAGATTAACTTACTAGAATCGCTTGTCAGCTAGTAAATAATAATAGAGGTTTCTCACGTGTGCGCTTAACGTGTTCCAGAGCGCAACCTGAACCCGAAAGCGGCGTGCCTGAAGCGGCGCGAAGAGGAGAAGGCGGAGGACGCTCCCAAACTGCTCGCCGCGCCGCTGCACCACTACCAGCCCATGCCGGTGGGTACCTCGCGTCGCTTCGTCCGCACCGAGACGTGCACGTCTTTACCGTCGTGCGAGTCGAGTTAATATTTTCCGATGTGTCCGCAGGGAATGGGCCAGGTGCCGGGGCAGCCTCCGGCGGGTCCGCCGCAGCAATAACGAATCGGGTCGCGAGCGCACTCCGCCTCCCAATAGCGGGAGCCGTGCGCTCCCTCCGGCCGGCACTAGAGGGCGCCGCTCGGCCCTTCGCCGTTCTCGCTTATTCCCTCCAAATTCATTGTATTCCACGAATCCTTCTCCGCTTTCCTCTCTTGCCTCTTTTCCCCCTTCTCTCTTCTTTCTTTCGTGTCTTTCGAATCGGAAATCCTCGCACAGACATTCCAACGCCCCGTGAACGGGAACGGTGACGGGTCGGAAGGAGTACGCGAGGCGTCAGTGCGCGAGCGGTGCAGTGGGACTGTGTCTAGAACTTAAGTGTGTATATTGCCTAGACCTAGGAATAGTTTTATATCCCGAGACCATCGAGACGGAATTTTTGTATGTCTTGTACCCAAAGACGAGGAGAGGACGCAAAAACTTGTATAATAACATTAGATATATCGTGTAGAGATAACGATAAATATATAAGAAAAGATATTTTAATTACGATTTTAAATGATTTCGCTGCCATAAGCGTAGGGTAGTAGCCCGTAGGGCCCGGAGTCCGTATTCGCGCCGGCGACACCGCTCCGCCGTCCCGTTTTAAGCTTGACAATAAAATCTACGTGGAAAATGGACTCCGGAGTTATTTTTATTAGACTTTTCGTTTTACGCCCCTTAGTCGAGTCGCGAGTGTGTTTTCGTCCTATTTTTAAACAACGAGGGTACAAAGGGGGGGTTGAAATGACCTAAGGGGATTTTGGGAAAAATAGGGCGAAACGCGCAGCATCGTCGGTCGCTAACTTAAGTGCCGTACTTAAGGTGTTTTTACTCCAGTGATTTTTATTTTACCCCGTTTACAGGTGTTTATTTACGCGATCGCGTAGACTTTATTTATATTCGGTAGCTATTGTTTCGATCGGATCGCATGTACTTATGTTTATAGTGCACTGTACGAGATTATGAATATTATTATTTTTAATTATTGTTGATTAATCAATTTTATAATCGAAGGCATGACAAATATTATAATTTTGCTCGGCGATCGCTCGGTCGTCGCTCGGTGCGCCCGAATGTTGTTTTGCGGAACGGACGGCGTCGAATAAAATAAGCTAAGGAAACTAATGTAATGTTGCTAGCGTTCGTTTCGTGTTAAAAGATTTATTCGTTCGACGCGTGACTATATTGTAAATAAAAGCCGAAGCTCAATTTTGTCGGTTATTTTCGTAGATGCATTTTGTGAAAACGAATTAATTGTGGCTTTTCAGGGACGATTGCAATTTGTACCAAATTAGTAGATCTTCTACGCGTGAGGCACAAACTCGGCAGTCGTTCCCTTCTCCCGCCCGGTCACTTGTATTATATAGCGATAAGTTAAGGCCGCCATTTTGTTGAAACTCACGGTTTGAATAAAATGGCCGACTCGGATGATTGACAATTGGAAAGTTCAAAATATTTTTTTAGTATTTCGTAGCTTTTAAGTCACTCTACGACCGCTGTCTAGCTTAGTTGACTTCTTCCATTTAGCGTTAATTTTAAGTTTTTTTTATTTTTAATTACTTTGTTGTCCGTGAGACGTGCGAGCGATCCAGGTGAAACGGAAGCGTCGCCGTCTCATTCTAACGCGCAGGAAACCTACATAAGTAGGAGAGAGACGGGACTAGTTCGCGTTTGATCTGGATAGTTTTCTCGCACGAAAAAATCAAACCAGTAATTTATTGGAAAATATGCTCAGGTTAAGAGGCACTGGAGTCGATTTTTTGTCTGTTCTGTTACAAATCCTGGAGATTGTGTGCAAACGATGAGGCTTTTTGTTCTTTTGTAAACTCTGTGTAGAGCGATCCCCACTGTTCAAAGGATACTATAAATACAAGAAAGCTCTTATTATAAAAGGAATAATTATAATTAAATATAAATGTGCCATTCATTTTGCTAAAAGTGAGTTTCATTTAGCGTCAAAGCTACGTCCCCAAGAAACACTCCATCCGCGACATAAATGACTGGAAACTAACAACAAATACCATTTATTGGGTTATACAGGTCGACATTTAGCAACAATAATAGTAATCTTAATAACTCTACCGAGTTACAAGTGATCAAAAACATTCTAAAGTAGGTATAATATAGGTTGAAACTACTTTAAACAATCTGAAACGCTAACAGTAATTCACTTTGGAACACACGACATTGAGACATCAGCCCAGTTTATCGCCGGTTCGGACGAAAATATACAAAACGGCTAAATGTTTATTTTCTTTAAAACGTTTCACTCCGGAGATAAACTTGGCTTCTCGAAGAAGACGTTCGCACATCGGATATATTGACATTGAAAATACATTTTGCTAATCTAATCTTTATACATTTCCCTTCTTATCTAAACTCTCGTAACATTATAACGTTCAAAAATTGAAGGCAAGCGAAACCATTAAATGCGTTATTTTCTAAATCTACTCGATAAATAATCATCTATAATTCACTTGCGCAAATAGTTGAACCTTGAATAACATCGTGTAAATAAGCACAATACAGCGTGTATTCGCATTTAGTTTGAATCGCCTTCTACTTATTTACAAGTAACATTTATAATTTGACAATTAGTACCTCCGCTCGTAATCTCCGAAAAACTAAATCTTATATAGGGGAAGCCCTCATTTTATACTATTCTACTTTTTCTATTGTCATCGTCACGTTTCTTCCTATTTACAATTACAATTACAATAATTAACATTAAATATTATTAAAATACTTTTACGATTCCCACTAATACTGTTTCCAAAATTTCTACAAAAATAACGTACTTAAAGATTTATACGTTTTCTAAAAGTCAAGAACCATAAGCGTGTTATCAAAGGAAGACGTGAGATTCGGCGACTGAAAACATTCCTTATCACGAATACTTAATTGGCAAAACGGGAGATATGTTCGTATATCTGATAAAAACTATTAATTAAGCTAATTGCGAAGAGGTGAGCTCATACGACGTCTAGAAGGTTCCGCTCACCCCGACGAACTGCATTTCTCTCTAAACGTACTAAACAATATATCCTTATATATATGTAGTTCTTAACAATCTTAGAGTAATTGCATTACGTGATATAAACATAATTAAATATCTACTTTAAACAAACAACGAATTATTTAAGATAATGTTAACTATAATTTTAATTATATTAATCAAAGCGATTGGAAATTAAGCCGTTTTGAAACCGCCAGAGTTTCTCTCGCTGTAATATTTTGGCACACGAATACATCCGACGCCTTTAAAATACATTTTCATTGTCAATTTAACGATGATAAACATTTAACAGACGGTACGTTTCACAGAAATCAATTCGCTCGGAAGACGTCAAAGCGATAATATCATTAGTATTTTATACACACATTCATAACTTAGTGAACATCGCTACGTCACATTCATCTTAACTATAATCTGTTCTTTCGAGAGAAAAATAACATTTCACAACGACGCTACCACAATTAACCGTTAAAATTAAATCACAGATATTTAGCATAAGATAACATATTTAACGACTATATAATTCCGGTATACGTATTCCATAAACTGAAGGAGAGAATCAATTTTGGCGCGAAACACCCGCAGACAACGAGCCGTTTAGTCGACGACGATGTCGTGGCCGAGGCGGTCCATCTCGGCGAGGAGGAAGTCGACGTCCTTCTCGGTCACGGCGGCGGACGAGATGATGTTCCGGAAGAAGTTGGGGCGCCTGTCGTCCGGCTGGTATCCCACCATGATGGTGCCGGCCTGCATCATGCGCCCCTTCAGCTTTGCGCACACCTTGAACCGAAACGAGATCGATAATGATTAATCAAGACATACAAATTAATTATGTGTTCTTTCTGTCTTAAGACAGCATCGATGGTTCTGCGTAGACGTTTTTCCGGCTTTCGGTGTCAAAATAGTTCGAATATCGGTCAACACTAGAATTGCCAAAATTTACAACCCATCTAGAACTGTCGCTATGGCAATGAACAATGGCCAGAATTGTACAAAAAAAATATAAATAATTAATCATTGTATATTGGCCATTATTAGTTAATAAGTAATCGTGAACTGTGTACATTGGTGCACACCAACAAATTAATTAATTACAAATTTCCGAAATTACAGCAAACTAACATCTATTTAATCTTTTTGTATACTGTACTTATGAAATAATCGCATAAAGACTGCTTTGAGACTCGATGCCTTTAGTAATTATATAATTAATTGTATTGCAGCAATAAATCTAGATAGATTGCTCCCGCACAATGAGCCAGAATGATTCTAATAAATACGAAAATGAATTTATCTTAGAAAATTGCTTAGAATAGGAGGAACAACTCTGACCCAGCAGCACTTCTAGGTAAAACGTAAATGATTTTATTTATTTCTGATTCTTGATTAGAAAACATTTACACAAGATAAAAACGATAAATGATAAAAAGTTAAAATTTAAATACTGTCTATAGTTTACGCGAGTAGTACACATTTAAACAAAACACTTTAACGGTTTAAAACGCGATATATTAGCTTTTTTTTACTTTACTGCTGCAAAGCAACCGAAACGTCGGGCCGAAGTTGAAAATCATTTTCAAATAAGTTTAACTAATATATGGCGTTTTAAACCGTTAAAGTGTTGTATTTAAAAGTCAAAATGTGCCTTGAGTAGAAAAAATAAAAAGTTAGAGACCGTCAAACTTAATGGACAAGGACAAAAATAGTACTTCTAGTGTTAATGTGAGTAACAAAAACGTAGGTACCTTCCCAAGCTTGATCTCCTTGTTGGCGTCGTGGGGCACGCCTCGCAGCTGTTTTGGCAAGTACCAGAAACTCACGTTGACCATCTCGGGCTCGAGGATGAGGTGGAACTTATCGCTCTGCTCGCGGATGCGTCGCACCATGTACTCCGATAACTCCATCAGACGGTCCATGAGCCGCTCAAAGCCGGAGGTGCCCTGCGCAAGTGGAAAAATCCCTGATATATAAATCTTCCCTCTTTCCAAAATAACTACTCTGTCGAGTAGAGTAATATACCTTTCCTCTCCACTGTAGCCACAGCTTGAAGATGTCATTGTGTCGGCCGCACTGGATCACCTTGTCCCCGGTGTCGTAGCGAGGGTCGTAGATCTTGTCCGTCATGAAGAGATACTCCGCAGACATCGCGTTGCAGCTGAGCAGAATGCCCTGGGGAAAAGCCATTTGCATTTCATACAGTATACAGTACACTTATTTTTATTCGCACTGTTAAGCGTTAGACTCCAAGAGATAATGAATGGGCAAACTGTGGATAACATCTCAAATCCTCCCCTCCCCCTCGCGCACTCGCAATCACTCGCAACATCAACTTTAACTTAAACCATGAAAATGCCATCAACTGCAGACTACGAGTGTTACGCGGGACTCGGAGGCGCTTTAGGCATAATGTTCCTAAACACCCTGTAATAAAAGCTAAATTCCTGTAATGACGACTAGCGAGCGCATAGTTTCGAATTTTAGCCTCAAAGTCTAAGCGAGCAAAGTGGGTTTTCCAGTGAGGGCGAACGCCATTGTAGGAATTTGAGAAACTCAACTTTACGTCCCTAGGTTAAGGTAGCTTTTTAGTCGTTCTCGGCCAAGAAAGGGTAGGAAATTGGCAACATATGTTTCCAAGTGTCGACAGAGGAATTTAATTAAAAGTGGGTGACGCGAAGTGATGCGGTACCTTCGTACGGTGTTTCGATTTTTATTTATAGAAAGGTCTTCGCCGGTAACGTCCCACTAACTTTGACTTAACTAACTTTTACTTTAAATTTGACTTTTCGCAATTCTATCTTAACCACAATACGAAATACACAGTATAATTAATCTAAAACAAAAAAGCAAAAACATTGAACTAACAAGAAAGTATGTAACGCAAGAATATTCTATCGATAATTTTATCCATGCTCGAAGAATCAATAACGTCAGAAGCCTCTTCTCGCTTACGTCGGCCGAACAGCCCGAAAAACAATGATAAGATGAACGATGGTCGTGAAAGTTTTACACAATTTAATATATAAAATGTTGCTCCGACTGAGATTTTCAGTGCAAACGAATAGATTTCAGTTAATCAGAACATTTAGGTTCCTACAAATAAAAGGAAGGAGAAGAAAGGTGTGGATACGAGTAAATTAAATATATTTTTTCTGATAAACTCTACATTTAAGCGTTTAATGGCACTAATATATTGCTTTTGTCATTGGCACAAAACTGCCTATTGTAACCTTTGATATATTAAAACTGCAGTTCAAACTCAATCAATACTTTCATTTAACAAATTTTTGAAATCTCTAAAGTGTTAAATTTATGAATTATGCACGTGTAATTTATATTATCTAGCAGAATTTATATATAGTTGTTTCTGATCAATTAAATACCAAGTTTGAGTTTATCGATACCTAGAAAACAGACATCACTAAAGCGGTCCGTCGGCTCGGTGGGCGCGGCCTGGAATTTATTATGAGCCCGTATTGAGTTGACGTAAGAAATGGCTCGGAAAATTTGCCATCATCGTAATTTTAACTGTAATCCTACTTCATTGCGTCTCTTTTTATAGAGAAATGAAGACTTAAATTCAAATATATGCATTTTCATAAATTTCAATCATTTTTCCGAGATACTGGTATACGAGTCAGTCAATAAATTGCACTTTTATAACAATTACCATCTTCTTATATTATAGCTATGAAAATGTTTTGTGTGTGAGAAAAAAATGTAGAACTCTTAAAACGATCGGCTTTCATCAGTACAATACACGTAATAAGGACCAAATGAGTGTACGTGTAATAAGATCCGATCAAATAAGAATACGAATAAATTTAAATCATACGTAATATTAAAAAGATTAAAATTTTTGAGGTGTGGGAGAAACTTGCTCTAACAAAACATGTAGTGCACTTAAAGAACGTGAAGACCTCCAAATGAAACCAGGCGATAAAAGGAGTGACGGAGAGTTTCTTTCCAGTGTTTCATTTTAACTAGTGAGACGTTAATACATGAATATATAATTTTTTTACTTTAACTTTGATAACTTACTGGCCGCTACGAAAAAACGAAAACCTGACTGCTAAACTACACTAACCTATGAACCCACACTCCATGATCTTACTGAAATCCAGTTTCATGTCAACGCAGAACCCGATATAAGCTAAAAAGATCCTTCCCTAACAACCTGCAAAACAACATTTAGTTAAATTGTAATTATGTTATTTATGATTTTATAATTACTAATAAGATATTCATGTTATTGTGTGGCTAATGGCAAAACATAAGTCTATTTCTTTAACTACAACTATAGCTGGGGTATTCGCCATCCGTCAAATAAGGCAAAGCTTGTCTATTTTGTGTGGCAATGCATAGTAATTTGTTTGCTCTGCTTATCAAGCGGCTGCAGATGAGCTTCCGACCACCCTTTCGCGTGGGCTTCATATAATCTCGTTTATTCAAATCTCCAACCGCGAAACAAATATCTCGATTGATATTCGTGTTGGCTAATGAGGACTTTTAATGGCTTTATCCTCCTCCTCAGTTCTCGGGCCACTCACCTCGTATTTGAAGTGAACAGTGGAGCACTGCAGCAATGTCCCCATCAGCTTGTGAGGATTCCAAGTCACCGAGTCCGCTCTGGGGAACAAAATCAAAGTTTAATCAATATAATAAGAAATTTTATTTGAAAGTTGTAACAAGAATCATAAAGTCAATGAACCTAATAACAGACAGCATATTTGGCATTAGGCAAACCCTAGAATAGGTCGGAAGCGCAACTTGTTTAGATGTTATGTAGCTGGGCTATAACAGCATAAGGTAAGGAGCCGATAATCAGTAACACAAGCGCTGCAACACCGAATAGCGGTGGTCCCTGGCGCCAACCCTTTTAGAGAAAGAAACAGTAAAAATAATGCGTTAAAGTAATTAAAGTTAGTTACAGTAGGAAATTCTATTTTACGACCACCACACATACCAATGTATGTTTGTCTTCATATTTTATTTAAAACACGAAAAACGAAAATTAAAATAAAAAAATACAAAAGGAGAAAAATTATATTTCTGTTCTCTCCTTTCTTCTCCTTAACTCAAAATAAAAACAAATAAAGTTCTTTAAAATTATGATGACTATATAATTTTCAGATTTATACTAAAGTATAAAATTAATCTGTTATAGTTAATAGGTTAATTGTAAATAAACCAAAAATTTAATAAACATGTAGGTATTATTTCTATATAGTCTTAATACTTTTACATATTTAGAAATAATTTCATAAAAAAAAATATGCATTAGGTTATTACAATATATTCTTATATTGTATATTGCATACTTTAGGTTAGTATACTCCAGAATGGTATACATGCCATTTTATGCGATTCAACTGAATAGTTATAGATTTAAGAGTCGCTATGAGTGCTACCAAACCATAGAGCAACGCTTCGGATGCTTTGCAATCGTGGTCACGGGGAAACTGAAGATGGAGAATGTTCCTGACTTTAAAAGCTGCTACGCTAGCGTCTATCTATCTGTTTCGTAGTAGTCGGTATTTGAGGACATTAACTGGGTCCTTGATAGTCCAGAACTGATTAACGGTAACCTCACGTTTCCGCTATGCTGTTTTTGGCAAATTTTAGAATTAGCAGAGTCTTCAAACGAGCTTTTAATGATACAGTTTTTAAGCCGCACAAGAAGATTCAGCAATTCCTAAAACCTACCGAATGTCCTACAAAACACCACAAGTGAAATCTGCAAGCAAGTACTTGGTCAGTTTCGCCAAATATCAAATAAACACTACGCCGTAGGCTAAGCGTCGACTAAGTAATGTGCTACGCCGTAGCTTGCATGTTCGTAGCATAGCCCGCAGACAACCACAAAAGTTTCATTTCAATGAGATGTATGTCTTTATGCATATTATTGTTTCATTTGCATCGTAAACCGAAGCGCCTTCGCCATTAAGCACTCCCGGGATAATATATTTTCCATTAAAGTGTAAACCGCTCGCTCCGACAGTGTCAGAGTAAATACGTGTATCTTATATTGACACAGTTGCAGTGGGGCCACACGCTTTACGCTAATCCCCGCCAGGGTGAGGGCCCGAATACAGTGGACTTACACCGTAACGTAATATAAGGCGAAGAGCGATCCCAAGTAAAGCGCCGATGCTCATTTCATATTCAATACTCCATGTGTTATTAACACTGACTATTAAACATTTAAAAAACCACGCGTAAAGTCGAAAGTACAAAACACAATTAGTACTTCATTATTTTTATCGAACAAGTTTCAGAACGGTGTGAGTGGCGGCCCAATAGCGTTTGATAAATGGGCGAGAGTGCGTTGGAACGCACTTTGTTTTTTGCGAGGGAGATTTAATTGATTGCGGAGCTTCTGGTTCTAGCTCCCACCATTACGCTGGGTATGATGAATGAAAGAAACTTTCCGTCTGATTCATACAAGATATGACCACTTTAAATGAAGTAACTTATATATTTATTTGATTTCCATAATTCACACTCACGTCCGAGACACAGAGGTATAGTCTTCATCTATAATCGTATAAAGCGACGTCGAATCAAAGAGCGTTAATTGTGGCAACATTAGGAGCCATCAATCATGCCCGTCGGGGCCCAGGACGGCTAATGCGGCAGGCGTGGGCGCCCGAGCGAGCGACAGCCCGCCCGCTTACGTCATTAATACTTCGCGGGCGAAATCTACGCGAAACGGCAATTAATAAAAATATGCTTACCTCTCGATCCCAGTTAGGCGGGGATGGCGATACTTCTTGGAGAACAGCAAGCCGCCGCCCCAAGCCGCCTTCGACATGCAACAGACAATTGTGTAATGCGACAATGACGCCGTGGTATAGCGATCAGCGATCACCCGATACTCACGTCCACGTGCATCCACATGTCGTACTTCTGGCAGATGTCGGCGATGTCCGTGAGGGGGTCGAAGGCGCCCAGCACCGTCGTGCCGGACGTCGCGTTCACGAAGAACGGCACCTGACACAACAGCCCACATAAAACCAAAATGTGCTTACGACCCATTTTTGCCTAAGGACCACATATTTTTAGCGCAATTTAAGTCACTTCTGAAATGTCACTAATCACTAATTAAAATTGAAGGACAGTGTCCCTTCACTTTTCAGGGCGCGAAGCTATCTTCATAAATTAAAAATGGATTATAAATTGAAAACCAAAAATGCATGTATCAATAGGTTGAAAAAATTCGACGATGAAGTGACGAGATGACACGGTAGGTCAATGGTAGAGCAACGGCACGGAACGGATACCGGTTCAAGTCCTGCGCGTGTCGTAATTTTTTTCAATTTATCATCAATTTGTAATATAGTGCCCTCGTGTGCAATAACGTGAAGAATATTCTAATTATCTTTCTAATTAACTTGCTGACTTTTCTTGTATTGGGCAGTATTAGGTAGTACACGAAATGGGTACGCACGTGGCCCTGGTCGCGGTGGTAGCGCACGAGCCGCTCCAGCTCGCTGGCGATCATCCGTCCTCGCTCGTCCGAAGGCACGCACACGCAGTAGTCGGTGCCCAGCCCTCCCACGGACGCGCACGACTTCACCGAATAGTGGCACTGGCGGAACGAGGGTTCGTTGAACTGGGGTTTCTTTAAATGGTACACGATGTGTTTATCATGAGTACGATATTCATACCTGATCGCTGGTGAACATGACGAGCTGCCCAGGGATGCTGGACAGGCCCTTCTCCTTGTATTGAGGGAACTTGTGGTGGCGCGCAGCGAGGAACGCGTACAGGTTCGACACGGAGCCGCCTGAATGTTTAATTCGAAGTTATTGTTTTACAATTTACCATTTTAAGTATAATTTAATACATACTAAATATTTAATCTGTTTTTGGTCACCTGGAGCGAGAATGGAATCCCCCGACTTCCACCCGATCATGCTCCTCATCTTTTCCAGAACCACGTTCTCCATGAGAATGAAGACGGGCGCGATCTCGTACGTGAACATGTTGGTGTTGGCGGCGGCCGTCAGCCATTCGCCGGCCAACGAGATGATGTCCAGACCGCACGACAGCTGATTGAAGAAGTGCGGGTGGCCTGGGGGTGGCGCATAACAGAGAATATAACGTTTATACGTGACCTTGGATAGCTAATGTGAAAAACACTGTACCTCACGACTGAGAATTATCAATTTACGTGTTATACTCGTATAGGCAAAGATAAAAAGCTATATTCCGGTTTGAAATGAGACGGATATGACGGGAGCCCTGTCCGGATGCAATCGCACGGTCGACCTAACGGATTGATGGATATCGGTCCCACTACTTCCGATAAGCGAGGCGGAAAATGTATCTGCGTGGAGAAGAAAGGAAACGTTTCGCCTTTACACCGTCCGCTTTTGAACATGTCACAAAATATGTATATATTTAGTCAACAACATTTTCAAGGCATATGCAATCTACATTTTAAATTAACACTAAGTTTTCCACGAGAGTTTATCATTTCATAAATACGGAAATGCACAGGTCTTTTGTGTACATTGAGCGAAATCTAGTCGTTTATTCAAATGATTCGCAAACATCAACAATACGCTAATTTGAAGTCCCGCAGATTTCGATTTAATTTTGTTTGTCAACCCCCATGTGCGGCGCGTGATAAACCGCCCCCGGGGACGCGTCGGGGGCGATTCGACTCCCTATCTCTGACACTTTTTATCATGAGCTAGTTATGGCACGCGACGTCGCGTCATATCCGCCGGACGATGCGCCGTTAAGATTCAAAGATTGCCTTTTTACTGCGCCTCAAAAGTATTGCACTATTGCAGTATCAACTAAACAACTGTTTCATTTTACAAAAATACTGTAAGAGTATAATTATCGAAAAAAATAGAAAAAAACGAAAACAACGTTTCATCGCTACAAATCCGATGCGACTAATATTTGAGAACGAACCCTATTTCCTACTCTATATTCGAAGCATTAATTTTACTTCCAATACACCAAAACTGACAACATAGCGTTTAGCCCGCCAGTCGGAACCTAAAAAAGCGAGCCTAAATCACACGCGTAGAGTGGCTTTTCGAAGCGCGTGCATCGGCGCGAGGGCTGCCAGTGCAAAAATAATATTAATTCATCACAAGGAATTTAATATAATCCCCTTCGGAACGCAGATGGGGCTAGAATTAATTCTTGTGCAGTCAGGTGCGGTGTAATTCCGCCTTAATCTGTATTTGAAAGAGCGGCACTGCCCTCACTACTGTTTGCGCGCATGGCGAATCACTTGCATCATTTGTTTTTGTTTCGCTCGCGTCGGAGATAGATTTATTTACTTAAATTTAACCTAAACGAAGACACCGTCTCTCTCACCAAGAGCACTTCGCCGTTCGCCTCGCTTTTCCTGCATTTTTATTGAACAACCTATCGATAATGTCATCACCACAGATTATAAATAATGGACAGATAAAACGTCGAAGGAGCACCCTCCGACTTCGAGCCCACTTATCTTCCGCCGCGAGAGTCCCGAGAGGCCAGACCCCAGTGCATAGACGCCGTATGCCAAAACAATATTCACTGCGGATAGAAGGCTATTGATTATCGCGAGCCACGCTTCGGAAGGGGTTATCTGTGGGTTATAATTTTTCCCGCGCCACGTGCCCCGTCAGCGAGCCAAGTGACAACTGACAGCAATCAGCCGTCATTGTGGCCGCGTTTCGATTGTGTTTGTTTCCTTAACAAAAGCTAAATCCGTTTATTTGCTCTGCGCGGAGGGCGGGCTGCTCTCGATTCGAACGCAGCTCGTAGTGATTAAGAGAACATACATTTTAGCAGAATTTCGTTTTATTGATTTTATGCAGGATAATAAAGCATTATTCGCCGTCCAATAGGGGCGCACATTTCGCTTACTTTATTTTATAGTCTATTTTCCATCGTATATGTAAAATCGGAAAATATAAAATTTCCACAACAATGTAAAAGGCCGTTATCTGCGCACTCAGAATGGAAACGATCCATAATCCCGATCTGCGTCGGACGGGGGATCTATCAATCCGAGAATATAAGACGCGGTGGCCATCATTTTTAGGCTGTTGAGATGAAAGAGAATCGATCGATCAGAATTTAAAACCAAATGCAATATATCTTGTCCAAACTAGTAAAAACTCTATGTTAGAATATTTACGACTCTTGATTCTATAAAACAGCCTTTAGTCTCAAAGTGATATTCAAGAAGAAAAAAGAGAACAATATTCAAAACAAGAAATACTGACACGTTCGAAGGAAGCCTTTTCGTGACATTAATTTTCTCTCGCCAAGCATGTATGATAAAGTCGGTAAATTTTAGAAGCATGGTCACCGTACGATCCCGTAATCCAATGATTTGCGTAATATTAGGGCACTCCACTCTGGCCACTAAATCAGGAGGCTCTCGCCGAGGCTTAGCCATTGTTTTTGTTTGAGGGGAAACGGAAGCCACACGCCGCTAATTGATTAGCCGACTTCGCTATTAATTGCCAACTTATTATGGACCCGGGGGGTAATACTATATCGCGCTATTCAAAACTTTAGTCATAATCGTGAGTCGTATGAAATACTCCTCACAAGAGTACCTAGGCGAGTATATCCGGGATTTTTCTGTTCAAAAGATCTGGAAGCAGAGGGTGCGATGCATTGTTGAATTATTTGCTTCGTCGAGCGGACACGAGGCGAAATGCGGGCTCCACTCTGCCGACTATTACTGACGCCCCACTTAGGTGAGGAGGAGGTTGCGAGGTTACTCTTCGTTAGAGAAGTATTAAGACAGCAGCAAGATCGATTTGGAATTTGACGTCGAAAGACTACTGCGAGAGTTAATCGCTAATTGTGCAACATTGTGAGTCCACATATAAGAAAAAAGCAGCGCGAGATTCCCGCAGGCTAAATAACGTATCAAAAATGCCTAACGATGAAATCGAATTCCGACCAACCGTGAGGCCAATCATTCCGATACATTTGTACGTTTAATTGAATTGTTTGTTACCCGAGGGTTCCGGCCCCGACCGGGGAAGGGGCTTACGGCGTCCGTCGAGTGCCCTTTCAGGTCTAGTGGTAACAGACATATAGTTTTCTAGATAATAATAATATTCATTTTAACTTATCGTAAGAAACAGGACTGTTTAGTTTCCTAAGGTAAATAAATAAATAAACATAAATTTATTAAACCTTAAAGCAAGACAAGTACTCTATCTTAACTTACCTGTCTTCACTTGGTGTCTGAGGGTGATCTTGCAATCCTCCAGCAGCTGCTTGAGAGGCAAAGGGTTCTCAGGGAGCTGAAGGTCCAGCATCTTCTGCATCTCCTCTGGCATTTTGAACTCCACGATCTGATTAAACATTAACATTTAAGATAAAGTCTAGATCTCTGGTCCACTATTACCTATGAGACGGTCATCGGAATTTACATTGCTGCCTAGAAGACGATTAAGTAAAAAAAATTGAAACTTTAATATTTTTCACATGATGGCACTATATAAATTAAAAATCGATTATTAATAAAAAAAATGATTAAGCAACAGCACGGAACGCTGCGGATGCAGGTTCATGTCCTGCCCGAGTCGATATTTTTTTATTTAGAGAAGTAAGTTCTTAATTGGATTCGTATAAATACCTGTTTATATTTGTTCGTTAATGACCCGATTTTAATCTAATCTACTGTGCTGTATGCAGTTTACAACGAGCTTACCTTTTCGTTTCTATCGTTGACTTGTTGCACAAAGTCGAGAAGGACATCCACCACCCGGGCCAGGAACTCGCGGGTCTGGGAGTTGGCGTCCTCGCGATATGGCAGAATTGCTTAACATGGGGAAAAATAGAAATAATTCCAGTTTACAGTACGATTTAGGATAAAAATAAACTCTTCTCTACTGAAGAATCATCTCATTGTACTGAGGAACAATGGGTTCTCTCAACCCGTCATTGCGCGCCGGGTCGAACAGACCCCTGTGATTAAAAAGTCGCCGCTTTTAATATCGACCCCGCGTCCAGGAATGCCAGGGCCTACGCTAATGTGACCGGCGGTTGCGTCTTTTCTGGGATATTACTATAAACAGTTTACGAGCGCAATGTTAATGCCCTTAAAAACATCTGCGTATGTTGCTCCTATAAGACATTACATGGAAAAACGGATAATCGGACCTTAGACACCGTATCATTTTAGATTTTGACTTAACTCGATAAAAAATAATTGTATCGATTATCTACGGAAATACTGGATAGAGTTGAATTATTTTTTTGTGTTAGTTTGAACATTTATCGAGGAAGGCTATAGCTTAAAACAAATCGCGCTGTGACTCAAAGGAGCGAATAAACTGCGGGAAATGTGGAAAAAACGGGGAAAATTATTCAACTTACTGGGATTCGAATGTTCAAGATAGCCAAAAAATATGAACGAAAGAATGATTTATCTTTTAATGGTTTAAAAAATGTCCGCCACGCGATATGTCTATCTTTTAAGATTGAGTTGCAAGAACTCCGGGAAGCGACCGACGTCGTGGGTAGCAGCTCGTTTACCATAATAACAATCCAACCATCTGCTGCAAAATGCTGATTCTACAGTTTTCAAAAATCATAGAGACTGAGCGCCATACGAGTAGAAAGTTCTGCTCACAGATGTCTTTGATTCGTTCTCTGATTGCGAAGGGTCGGGAAACAGCCGAACGAACTGCGAGCGAAAATGAACTGTACGTCTTTCTCGTAAGGGCTATAGTGCAGATCCTCATAAGCTTTCCCAAGGTTATGACAATGACTTCAATATTACGAACAAACATGAAAAGTATTTACAAGAAACATTTGCTAAACGATATCTCACTTTGAGGTCTGCTAGCCTTGTCCACACCGCTGACGTCGATTTACACATTCAACGAAACATATCTGTCAAAATTTAACATGTCAGATACAATTTAAAGCACATATTTTATAATAATTGGAAACCATGTTTTTCCCAGCTAGTACACCTCATGTGTCCTAGACACAGAATAAAAGTGCCAACATGGTCTCACCACAAAATGCATTTAATTTGTACCCTGATAACACACAAATTTTACATACAATAGTATTACTACACGCAAGATGGTTATATCTTTAATTGGTATGTAGAAATTTTACATTTAGCTTAAGGCTTATTACTGAATAATTTTTATTGGAGATAATAGGAAATAATTTAAAAATCGAAAACAAATTGAAAAAAAAATTCGACTCGGGCAGGACTTGAACCGGCATCGTCAGCGTTACGTGCTGTTGACTCGGTAGCTCAATTGGTAGAGCGAGCAAGTCCTGCCCGAGTCGAATTTTTTTTCAATTACATTGGATTTTTAAATTATATAGTGCCTTCATGTGCAATAACATGTAAGAAAATATTAAAGTTTTCAAATAGAACATAATATTTACTCTCGAGGTCGCGTTACTAGTTCGTGGGCATTGATCGACTTTGCTACTACCCACATATTAATTTTAAGAATATTTTAACCCACAATTGACAGTTTTAAATTCTTGTGATCGCCCAGTTATCCCTCAGAGGACGGCTCAATCCGAGCGTCTACTAGACAGATCCGACTTAAGTATTTGGTGACACTAACCTTGATAAAGAAGGTGGTACTTTATTTCTCCTAGCTTACGCTGTGTTTTTACTAGTGCCGAACGAATTTCACGGACCAAAGTACTGTGACTTCCAACAAAAGAAGCCTGACTAATAATGCTTTAAACACTCCAATAAAAACCCATCTGAAAATGACAAGACAGCCATTAGGACGTATCTAACAACACCGAACCGAACCGGAAATTACGGTTCCCTACATACGACGGCGGGTGCTACGATATGATTTGAGTTTAAAAGACTATCCACCAATGGGCTCGCGATTACCCACTTTTCCCTGTGGAACAGCGAAGAGGTCAATCGACGGGCTCAACCTTAGGGTAGCAGGTTCGAAGAAATATGATATTAACATTATAAGACACTTACCACTTAGATTTATTCTAGCTAACCTGCTATAATATTTTCAATGTTAAGTGCGATGTTTTAGGATTTAAATCATCCGAAGCCTGATATATTCTCCCAATATCACACCGGCACAAACCGAAAAGCAGACGCCAACCTCGGCCGTTGCTTTTGTAAACTGTCACTTCAACGTGACATTTACATAATTGACAGATGATGGACATCGATGTGTGCGTTGGGAAACCGGAAAAGAAGAAAACACAAACTCTAATAGAAAATGAACGCTGGCGCAATTCGATTCGAGAACGCTTATTTAAATTGCTACCTCCTTTTATTTCAAACATTGTTTTGTAAAAGTACGATCGATTCAATATTGATTTTTTAATGTATTTTATCAGAAAGTTTATAATAAAAGTTTCACAATTAAAAGCCTGTCTCTTTGGCGAGAAACCGTTCCCACACTTAGCATACTTATGGACGAGGAGGGCGAACAACAAAATTCACTTCACACAATCCCAAGTGCAGCTCTCCGGGCCCTCGACATAATCCTCGCGTAATACTATCACTCGGCTGTCAAACACAGCCCGTGCTGCGAATGCGGATCACTGCGCACCGAGAAATTATCGCGTATTGTGGACGTTATTGAGTTTGTGTCCAATGATTGGAGTATTGCGAGGTCGTATGAAGGCAGCTCATTTGAGAGTGATTCTTTAGACGAAGGCCTGGCTGAAATTCAAGTTATTCAAGTGTAACTTCGAGTACACTGGTTACTATTTGAGAGCAATTATTTTCTTGTGTGATAATGTCGGTCACCACATTTTACAACAACTAAGCGACATGTATTTACAGAGATACACCGAATGATAGATGAAGATTTATACGAAAAATCCGACCTCATCCGGTAAGCAGAGCCAGTATCGCGCGGGATCTATTTACTTTATAGGAATATTAATATGTTTACACCATAATTAATATTTTTACACACACTGATTTACTTGGTATAGACTATGTTTCCTTCGACCGTCTTGTCATATTTGAATGAACGGTTATACACAAACAAAACACGACACCAGGACAACACGAGCTATTTTTCTTCATCTTATAAAAATATCATACTGTGTGAATGTAAAACTAAAAATTGGGCCCATAAACTACAGGAATTTCCGAGCCGGAGCAACACGAATAATTACAGTACCCCTAAGCTATTTGAAGAATTTCACTTAGGGCCCTCGGGCGGTCGCCTACACCCATTCGCGCAACGAAACAGCTGTGTTTTAGGGTCACGAGCAAAATATACGAATTCTTATTAAATTCCTTCTCCGTGCTAATATTATCTTCGACGTTGTATTTCTATAATACTACTTAGATGTGTAACGATATGAGATGCACGGCGGAATAACAATTATTGCTATAAATAAATAATGACGCGCCCACGCAATTAAAAACGAGTATGAATTACCTATTTTCTCAAACACATTAGAACCATCCGACGGACATCACTGTACATCTTAATAAATACACTCGAGCGACGTACAATTAGTAGCGTTTCCGAAATATCGTCCTTATCCCTCATCAGAGCGGATGAAGCCGTCTTAGAGACCCATTCGCCTGATCCCGGTTGATAGAGCGATGTGGATTTGCCGAAAATAATAGATTTTTATGTTTCCCTCTCGATTCGCCCGATGGAAATGTACGGACAGGATTTTACTTTGTCGTGAAATTCAACCATTTTTATTACTTTTTCTTTAAAAAATCTTGCGGTAAATTGATTTTTAAAATAAATGAGAAAAATTTGCGTTTTACTATTAAACAAATGCACATACACCGTATTGTGAGTTGAAAAACAGTGAGTCTATAAACTCTAGCCGAAGCCCCGGTCTATCGCGGGGCACGGCAATATATTTGGGGATTAGACGGACCCTCTGCTCCCCGCCTGCGCCATCGAGCACAGACAGAGATTGTTTTTTTACGAGCATTCGCGAGATTGCGGTTGTTTGTCTTCGGCATTATGGGCTTCGTCTCATGCTTATTTACTACTGATGACTCTCCTTTAATGGCTGAGGACGAATTTATGGCGGAGGAGTCGAACCGACGACTCTTGCACTTGCAATATATTGTTAAAATTATGTTTAGCGAAGTGGTTCAAAGCTGTAGTTTAAGAATCCATCGTAGAAAGAAACAACGTATAGTCGCATCCCTTTGAACGATATATTTTGAAGACAAAAGGAGGTGTGCTAACTTTCTTATAACATGACAGAGAAAATCAATGAGTGAAATACTCCGTTTCTTGTCAGAAGTGTACCTAAGCAACAACATGTACGCCCAACCTACGTACATACGTACTTCCTAAAAGCCATCAGCAGTATTTATACCGCGACTAAAATATGCAAAACTATCTAACCCCTACAGTACAAAATGCCCCTTTATTGAATACTTTTGAATTAATTTATAAGAAAATAGTATTTTTTGCATTATTTATTTTATTTGTTTGTTGTTACAATTTTTTTCTAATTGTAAACATTTTTCGTTATGTGTCAGTTTTTATGTAGTATATATTGTACATTAATAAGAACATGTACACACTATATGTGTATCTTTATATTATGTAAGTATGTAGTGTTCTACTACAAATGTCAAGCGTGGGTCACTGAAAATCCGCCTTTTGCCTACTTCCAGAACAAAAAAACTTGTGTCCCTCCACAAATGATTTGATTTACTTACATTTTTAGACATTTATTTTACCATTTATCGAGGTAAGATGAGAATCCTTATTTAGTTAAAGCACAAGCGTTCCCAGGGAATCGTATTTCCGGATGTGATCTTTCATGTTATCTCGGGTATCGCGAGAGGGCGCGAACATCGGAAATGAATGCGCAGCGACGGGCACTTGTGGGCTTAACGGCCGTTAAGACCACGTTAAAATCATTTCGATTCGTTGGCAAGGTATAACGCCTAATCACATTAATACAATGTCTGTAAAGGTAACTCACAATCGTAGTAGAGGTTTCCGACGCCCGAGGTCAGCTTGGGAGTGCCCATGCCGGAGAGTGACGCCATTCTGTCGCCCTGCGAACAAGCGAACGCTTATTTTGCTTTTTCATTATTTTACGAAATAACTAAGTTGAAAAACACTATTATAGAAACTACTTTTAAAATATCGGAATAGTTTCAGTTATAACCAACATTAATTTAATTTTAAAAGTTTAATTTAATTGAGCAACGTCACGAGTTCTTAAAATAGGGCGGAAAATCCTTGTTCTTAGAATGCAAGCAATGTAGGTAACACGTTAACTACTAGCGAGAAGCCAAGCGGTCGAGCAAAGTAAAACAAGATGGCAGCAAATCGATACGCGACACGAAATGGCGGCTAATATGAGAACGAACCAACTGGATGTGTTCTGCTATTTGTTTGCAGTACGAAAAAAAGCCGTCCAGAGTTAGCTTTGACATTGCTAACCTCTTTTTATTCTGTAAACAAGAGAAAAGGTCCGTTAATTATAACCCCTTTGAAAAGAAGGATCGACCGTCGTCCGCGACTGAGCGAGGACGGAAAGACTGTGCACGAACGCCAGGGAAGCCGTTATTTCAAACTGTGCGCACCCAAACTGCGCACGCGCGAGGAAAATCCATATGATAAGGTCGAAAGGTCGAACGGATCGCAACGAATGAAAAACGTAAACAGCTCTTTCTAAAGTCTAATCGATTCCATTCTATCGTGTAAACGAAACTAAGACATACCTGCTCGGTGCTCGAAGTCACTACTTATATGAGATATTTTTGGTGGAAAATCTGATGACTATGTGGCAGAAGGGATCGTTAATGAATTTAAAGCGGAATTTTATATTTTTCATATATGTTAAATTTTTGTATTTTATTTGATTACCAGCTGTGCAGCTGTTGGGACGAGCCGCTGGAGGTAGACTGGAAACCTCGGAAGGCCACCCGGGGCTTATATAGCACGCATGCGTGGCGGAAAGGTTGAAAGGTGACAGGGGGGGTGGGCTGGGATGGGAAGTGGAGGGAATTTGGGTCAACCCTTTTTGTTCGATGTTTTTCATATTTTCAGTGCTCCCGACATTTTTATCTCATTTAGGCATAAGACACGCCGCGGCCCGAGGTTGGCTCGAAACCGCCTGCAACGTCTCAGTCACGAAATGGAGCAGAAGAAACATTCTTGTCTCAAATCCATTTAGATCTTATTTTCCCTCTTTATATGCCGGTACAGTTTACGTCCGTTAAAAAGTCTAACCAATTGTTGTTGCATTTATCTACAACGATTGGTTAGACTTTTTAACAAATATTTTTTATAACAATCTAAACTTATACATTATACGATAAATTTATTTAAAAAGAATAATCTGAGACAAAAGAACAAATTATGTTGTTTTGGCAAACTCTGTTGTTATTTTAAATTAATATGTAAAATCAAATCACCAAATTATCTTGCTTCTGTCAACCACACCATTTTAAGTTTTACGCAATAAGCCCGCTATCTTTTCCCCATATTATGTGAACAATATATAAATAAGAATTACGTTTTTTTGTCTTATCCAGTATATTATTTTCCATTCATAACACATCTTGATATTCTTATTACTTAGAACTTTTTAAACAAAATGACCTACTTTTGTGTGTAGGGCACACGATATATACCTAACTATAAGTTCAGTCAGTGCGTAGGCTTTAGTCGAGTTGAAATATTCAAAGACGAGTATGATTAAGATATGCACGTAAACGACATGGTTTGGCATCTGATATTAAGGGCACACATTAAATTATATTTATTTTAAAAGACTATTCCTATGTATAAGGACATCACAATGACGTATTTTATGCCCATATTATATTATTACACTACATTTTTTATTATTATTTCTTTTGTCGTTCACTAAAAATCTTAACAAAATTAATATTTAGAAGGTTTCATTCACTTCAAATTTCATTTTATTAAAATATAGGTATAGTCTACAGCTAGACATTCTTCTGCGTAAATGAACAAACCCGCGAAGCAGCGGTTAGCTAAATGTCAACGAGCGTTCAATACTCGCCCCCACTGCGAGGGCGGGTGACGTCATAGGGCGGGCGGGGGCGGAGCCCGCCCTAGCGTCGGCCTTTGTTCAATATTAAACTTCTAATTAGTCGTTTTAAGATTTTTCACTTCGAAGATCTTTGTCTTAACGCTCCGAGAGAAACAATGATGTCTCTTACAAGAGAAATTAAAAGACGCGTGTTTGCGTTTGCCTAGAAACAAGTTTCCACTACTAATATTATAAAGCTGAAGAGTTCGTTTGTTTGTTTAAATGCGCTAATCACATTTTGATTTCGATTTACCGGACACTACTAGTTCTAATTTAAAAAATTGTATCGATTAGAGCATTTATCGAGGAAGGCTTTAGGCAATAAAATATCACGCGGGAAATGTGGAAAAATCAACAAGTTAACATCAATTAATTATAAAAAGTGACAGCTTTTATTTATAGAGATGAGAATGTTTGTAAAAACAAATTATGTTGCCCAAAATAACTATCTTATGTGGATAAGGTCGCGGCCGAGAATGCAACTAATAAGTGAAATAATCGTTTTGCATAATTCTTTGATGGCCGGCTTAAGTTATAAGGGAGCGTTGCGGCGGTGGCGAGATACGAGTATCGATTCTACAATCAGTGATATGATGAATTCGGTTCAAATTTGGTGCAAATGTTGTAATTATGTAGAATATGATCTGGTACCACCGACTTGTTCGAGCGAATCAACTGTTTGTGGACGCGTGACGTGGCAAAACATGTCGAAAAGAGTTAATAAGCCTTATCGCGAGCTTGTCGAGGCTGAAAGCTCTCTCGTGGCTTATCTCGAGTACCGGCTCAGAGCGCGCAGAGCGCTCTCTGTACAGAGATATCCGTTTTGTCTATTCTCGGCAATAATATTTGGGCCAGCTAGGTGCCGTTCGGCCCCTGCTCCTCAGATAATTGGTCTCCCAAAAAAAAATTTATTTTTCCAGCGGGTTTGCTCGTTATTTGGGATCTAGACGGAAGAAATTGGCGAAGGAATGCATTGCTATTAAATAAATCTTAATCCTGTAATTTTAAGTGACAATCACAAATACAACAAGCAAAGTGAACAAGCAAAACGATTTAGTAGTAATAGTTTACATTTTTAAAGTAAAATTTGTGTAAATGTGTACTCTATATACAATTACAACACGCCATTTAAGCAGATACATCGTAGCAAATTTAGACTCCGCGTGACCAGCGAAAAGGTGAGACTCGTAATATGTTTATTTAGACTAGTTTAATTCCTAACCTCTTTACACTTTATCGGCACCTATCACACATTTCAATATATTCTCTTGACATTATTCCTACTTTTTTTGTTGTTTTTCATTTTCTGTGCTTTTTTCTTTGCTAAGTATTTTTTTTCTAATATTAGGTTAGTAAAGGGGGGATCTTTACATTTAGGAAACAATAAAAGAAAAACATAGTTTCGCCATTTTATTTTTTCTATCAATTACTTTATTTGATATGTTTTGTTTGTGGCTAGCAATTGTCACAAATAAATGCTAATTTAAAGAGTGACGTAGTAATTGCAATATAGAGAATTATGAAAACACAATTATATTCCCCTGGAGTACATAAGAGCCTGTAAACCGCCCAATCGATACCGGAGGCTTTGTCTCGCCTCGTCGCGTCCGTCTCTTTCCCGCGGAGGCTGTATTCAAAATGGCGGCAGACGAGATATTGATTTATCCAAATGGAGCTATCGTTATGACCATCGGCACAATTATACTGCTTATACCTACCTACCGATCGAATGGCGTAAAGTTGTAAGTCGCAAAATGTATCGTTCAGATATATTCAATATCTGCGTAGAACCGACGTGATGACCGGGTAAGCGACACTAGATAAAGTCCTACACAATTTTTATGTTGTACCCTTTGTTTTTTGTATTTTGTCGATTTGTCAAATGCCTCCTTGTTAAGTCATCGAGCAAAATAATCACCCATCATAATAAAACAGGAGAGAGAGAGATAATAAAGAGAGAGATATATAATTTGAGAAAATTTTAACTATTTAGCTGTTACGGTTTGTAAGATACGACCACCGACAGACAGTCAAATCCTCATAATTCGGAACGGAACCCCCAGATTACACTCTGAGTACGGACCCCTAAAAATGAATTTACCTACACCAGATTATCGTAGCGATTGCGTAGCAGCTTCGTAGCGTCGATGTGAGCAAAAAGAATATAAACTCATCTAATGAAATATTTTACACTTTGTAGCTGTTCGTTAATTTAATAATAATAATAATAGCTCGGCCTCTGAAGAGGCCACAGAATATCATTATCGGGACATCGGTCCCGAAGTAGCTGAGTGGCTTTATTTTCCAAGGCAACTTTAATTACCTATCTATTTAATATTTAATAAAATTTGTATGTTTGTGAAATTAGTTTTAATTGTAAAGTTTTATTTATCGTTCGTGTGTTGTTTCTGAACTAACGAATTTCTACGAACGTCACCTATATACCGCTGTGTGCCAATGTTTTCAACGTCCATCCGACGAGATTGTAAACCGTTATATCGAATTCAACATATATAAAGTAATCGCTATCAGGTACTTATGTGACAAAAGAGCCACGAAGAGAGCGTGACAGATTATTTGAATTATTTTGTATATATATATATATAATTAAACGTAGTATAAATCATTGTTTTTGTGATGTATAACTGCGGGTAGTTTACATATATATATATATGTATAATCATATATTAGGTCTCTTTTTATAAAAATCTAATAAGCGCGATACGTTCTTTACGTAAATTTGACCGATAAGTCGTAAGATCTACCGATCAGCTCTAACGATGAAGGCGCGGTGGCTCTCCAGATGCTAGCGCTGTTGGCGGCGATCGCGGTGGGCGTGGCCGCCGTGGACCAATCGGAGCCAGGCGCGGGCCGGCCAATGAGCGAGCCGGAGGTGGTGGTGCAGCTCAAGTACGACGGGGGCGAGCTGGACCGCATCTACTTGACGCAGTTCCGCAAGGAGCAGAGGGTCGCCTCAGTCCCCGCGAGGCCCGACGTGTGCGCGGACCTCTGCCACTCGGGTCCCTATTTTCTCTTTTCTTTTGTTATGTTGTGCCTTTTTGTGAGTGAACTGCGCGTCGAGGTAAGACTTTACGATACTCTTTGAAAGCGGAATATGTGCGTACTTCGGAGATGGAGAACTTCGCTGTCGAGAGCGTACCGCAGTAGCCCTCGGTCTACCGACGGAATATCGTTGGCCTTCTGGTGTACTATGATGTAGTTTTTAATACATATATAAATATTTCGTTAAATCTAATTTGTGTTCTAGATTATACTTAGACGGTTGTTCGAAAAATTAGTATTAGGTAATGCTATTTGCAGGAAAACATTATTTCCTCCGTCGCTGTTTGAGGCAAAACAAATTATTGTTTTGATATTTTTTATGACTTTGAGTTAAATTGATTTAATTTGATTACTATATAGATTATGTTAGCTCGTTGATAATAATTAGAACTTAGCCTTTATTTAATGTTCATCGTTATTTCTCGAACAATTGTTTTTTATTAACTCCCTACACAATAATAATAAAATGACTCCGAAACTGAAGTGTCCCTGCAACTCGAGACTAAGATATGCCCAGACCAAAGTTATGCGATGCGAGCAAAATGAAAGGCACAGTACATACCTAGAGAAAATCAAGAGAAACACGCCGTTTTCAAAACTAACTGGTTTTTGTTTTGGGAGCCAGGTGCATTGTTCTCGAGCGAATTTTAAAATTTAACGGCGGTTTATTAAGTATAAAATCCTTTAACGGCAGAAACACTCGGTTCGACAATTAGGTTCACGCCACGTTGTACTCACGCCATGAAGCCGATGCGATCCACAGGTCTCGGGGGCGAAGCTTGCGGTTCCACCTGCCTATCCCTGATGCCGGTCGGTCTGAAGACGGCGCTGAAGAGCGGCAACGCCAGCGGCGAGGAGTACGGCCAGCCGAGGGTCGCCGTCTGTCCGACCCTATGTGAAAACCAACTAGGTTATTTCTATCTCGTTTTATTTCTCACAACAAAATTGGCTTTACGCTTACAAATCTATGCTAATATATAAAGCTGAAGAGTTTGTTTGTTTGAACGCGCTAATATCGAAAACTACGGGTTTGAATTGAAAAAAAATATGTCGGTTACCATTTTAACACTTGCAAGAACAATGGGACCCCAGTTATGGGTGCCGAGCGACGGGACGCGACCGATTTCGAGGTATGCGAAAATAAATTTAGAGGCCCCAAATAACTTTTCTACGTGGATAAAGTCGCCGGCACAGCTAGTAATTAATACCAGTAATTGGCACAACACAGGGGAGCCGCTGTGCGACTGCACGGACGTGACTCCGTACACTCATCCCACCAACTGGACCGTGGTCTGCCAGGCCTTCTGCGACACCGATGGGTACTTGCTCAGCGGTAAATTACCAACAATTACCCGTTCATTTTCTTGTCTCGGCACTTTCAGATGCCGCTTCGAAGTGTTGGAACAATATACGACCGCTAGTTCGCGAGCTTAAATCCTTCACAGCATTTAAAAACAATTTCAAAGTATATCGTTAGCAACACCAGAAGCATAGAGTTACCGTATTGTCTAATTTGTAACTAACTAAATATTTTTTAAATGTAATTATACAACGAAACGCATTTCATCATTACTTATACGGCTATATGTCAATATACAATATTGATTGATTTACTATATACTACATTTTTAATTTTTAAAAGAAACTAAACAAGGCGAAATCTATTCAAATCATTTAGTGCGATAACAGTAACAGTTTCATTAAAAATGTGTTCATAGTATTCGTGTTCTTGTCTTGGCTTATCGTTCATCTACTTGATTGATCTATCGGAACTATCGTATACTATTGTCATCTCTTCGTACGTACCTAGATGTATGTGTCGATCGATGCTGCATCGGCCTAATCAGTCCACTTGTATTCAGGCTGTCCAACATGCGAGACCCCTCAAACTTCGCCCCAGCTCTCGACCATCTCCGCCGTGTCTCTCCGCCTCGACACCTCAGACGGGTGGCGCTCTTGGTGCAACGTGCAGTGCCGCCAAGGACAGGGCGGGGCCGCTTGCAACTGCGACAGGACTCCGTTCTGAGGCACCGAAGACCACGACGCGTATCTTCATTCGCTTTGTCTTTTCTTTTAAGCTTACGACGCCATCTGGCCCGTTCTGTTGCGATGTTTTTCCTTACAAATTTAAAAAGATTCCTTTATCCGCTAAGAAACTGTTTTTGTTTTAAGTATTAGTAGTAAGTAGATTTTACGTTTCGAATCGACGGCAATCTTGTTTTTTAAGCTTACTTTACATTATATATTGGTACACATTCAGATTTATTTGACTTTAAATGACATGTAACATTATATATAGAGTAAAATTACTTTTATCACCCAAATGTAGACGTTATTAAGTAATTAGAGCTACGACTACTATTATCTGACATATCGTAGAAAAGAACAAATATTTTCGAAAGATTAGAGTTAAGATAGAAGTACATAAAAGATGCTGTGCAAACGACAATACGAAATTAGATGTAGCATCGAGTGTTACTAGGTGTATTTTCGTTCATTAAATTTTATTTGCGATTTATTTTCGTTTGTTTCGACACCTACCGGTCAATTACGAAGGGGCTTTCGTCGGATGGGTGCGTACACTTCGGCTTCACGATAAAACCTGAGTGCAGTGTAGTTGTTCTGTGATTAATAAAATTCACATCGACACGGCCGAGTCAAAGGTTTCGTCGCAAACGCCCGAGGTGGATGTCTTACGTCTATGTATAATAAATAGCGAATGAAAGGCGACGAATGTTCAATTTACAATAATAAATTTAGTCGCTTTGTGGACATTACTTCTGTCTTAATCTAGCGGTATTATAGCTGATTTGTTCATACGTAATTCTATTTTGCCGAAGTGTAAGCGAGACGCACCTTCGAAGCCCTGTTGAAAACAAATTGTGTTGACTCCCTAAAGTTTTCAATTTAAAAATTCGTGTCGGTAGTTGTGTAGATCGGTGTTCAAAGTAGATTCGTCATTGTAAATATGAGATCTTGGCATTAGTGATAACTATTTAAATGATATAAAACAAACAAAAATACTTTTACATTTTAGCATTGTATGCTCTGCTAAATGTTTTCTTCGATTTACGTAGCGCAACATGTGGAAGAAACGTGAATTAAGACAAAAATCACTTTTAACGGTTCAAAGAGCGAAATACATTGGTTAAACTCATGTTTGAGTAATTTTAACTACGAACCGACATTTCGAAAACTTCGCAGTTGTCACGGGGGGACTAAAGATGAAGGATGCCCCTAATGTCAACGTCAAAATAGTCCGCTAGTGACATCTGTTTCTCGTCAACTACAGATAATAAGTTTAATTAGGCAGGCGCTATTCGACACAGTCTGCACTTGTATATTGCTCTTGTATCTAATTTTGGTGGCCAGAACTAGGAATTGGAATATGTAATTTGCTTACGATTATAATATTACACTAGATTTAAAATTAGTTTGTAAGCTTAGTTTAAATCAACCAAGAAATATCGCAACAAACAATATCACAATTGTCTTCCATTAGTTAAGGATTAAGTAGTTAGTTAAGGTAAATACTTAGTAAAATATTTAAAATTTGTATCAATATAATTTTTATTCCTTAAAAAGACACAAAGCTTTGTAAAAAAAAGCAAATCTTCCGTAATCTCTATGTAATTACATGGTTTAGAAACATTCTCAAACCGCCACAGATTATCGTCAAATTTGTTAATAATTTAAAATGCAAACAAGTTAATAATTTTTTGTGAATTATTTTAGTTTTAAAAAATTAATTGATATTAGATAGTCAGTGATATTATCACAATTATTATTATATTTAAGTATTAATATGTTATCGATATCAATGTTCTATTATTAATAATTACTTTTATTTGATAAATCAGCGTTACTGTGAATATTATCATTTTCAAAAATATGTTAATGTAAGAAGGAACACTTAGTTGTTATTTAAAACGTCATTTTGTTGATGCTTGAACAAGTAGAAATGTGGAGTAGTAGCAAAATAAATGTTTAAAAAAGTACATGTAGTTTTCTATGAGTTAGAGAGTAAAAGAAAGGAAGACAGGAAATCACGTCAGTTCTTCAATTGCACTTTTTTAAGAGCTATTACTTACTGGTAACTTACTTTCCTTAAATAGTTGCTTATTCAACTCGGCGACTCCCCGCTCTAAATCATATTACATATTAGTATTGCCACCCTAAACATTTCTCACAAAAGAGATATTTATACATTAAAATGGGGTATGATTCATTAGATCATTTGTAACTGATAATAACATAAATAAAAACTGCGGGTATGAGATATATTATGTTATTATAATAGTAGGAAACAAATAAAACACGTTTTAAAAAATATTTTTTTTTATTCACTCACTCGCTCACTTTAGGCACTCATTGGGAGAACACCTCTATCTAGGTGTCTATCTATCATCTAGCAATCACGTCGATAAATATAAAATAATGCATTAAGAAAAACCTTTGGTCGCCAATCAGTATTTTAATTAATGAACTATATCATAGATATTCAAATTTAGAGTTTGAATAATAATTACAATCATAAAACTGTTATTTATATAAATTCAATCTCTTTAAGACATTCTACTGACTATTCTGCAAACATTTGATTCGTAATATATTGTTTTAATGATTATTTTTGCATAAATGTTAACAGTAAAATTAGATCAATAACATTAAAATTCTATTTGATTAGTTTATTTAATGAATAAAATGAATTGATTTGATTGATTTGCGTCCAATTAGTGGCGCCACATATTGTAAGATTTCATAGCCTAGCATAAAGAAATTAATTTTATTTATAGGATAAATAAAATTAATCATTTGGAATCATGTAAAATTCATAATAATATTAATTTAGAATATTCAACTATATTTTATGTAGTCATTTCAATTACTTTGTTTAAAGGAAGGTGTGTAAAAGTAAAATACGGTCAGTCTAATTCGGAGAGTCATGTGAAAATAAACGAAGCTGTCATGTGTGTGCGTTTTTCATTAGGATGGACTCGGACCACGAAACCTCTGGCGTATATGCGCCGACATACATTTATCGGACATCGAAAATTAAATATTCTATTCGTAAACCTTTTTTTTTATTGGTACAAATTGATGAAGGTCATCCCTTTTATCCAAAACTCCATTGATATCTCAAATGTTTTATTTTCCCATTACTTTCTAGGAAATGTATAGATTTCTTAAATAGATATAATGTCGGATTTTATATATTTCTGGTAACATAATACATATATACAAAACTGAATAATATGAGAAAATAAATGTCAACAAGAAGAAATATAAACATAAAAGGTAATTACCACAGATTACAATCCATGAAATGCTGTATGTCAAATGTCACTGTCAGGATTTGGGTGAAAACGAAACCATATAGACGTCAACATAGTTGTTAGATCTTGATAATGGTTTGTTTTGGTTCAGTTTCCTATAATGAGAACTAATATCACAAGATTCATTTACGTCTGTTTTATAATTAGTCCAACTTCAACGTAATTATACAATGGAAAATGTGACCGTGTATTGTAGATTTTGTGCTGAGCAGAAAAGCAGTGAAAAAATGTTAAATTTAAACGACGAAAAGAAACGCCAAGAAATCCATGAAAAGCTATGTTTTTTAAACGCGATGTACGTTGATGTTTCGAATGAAAACAACTTGCCTAAAACCATATGCTTCATTTGCTATGAGTCGCTCAACAGTGCCCACGACTTCTTACACAAAGTAATGAAGGCTCAGAGTTATCTCAGCGACATGTTTGCTGCACCTCCGGTGCTGTATTTCTCAGAAGATGACAAGAAAGAAGACGAAGAATCCATCGAAGACGCCGATGTCAAACCTACTAATTCTAAAGATAACATTGACATTGAAGTAAAACTGGAACCTAAACATGAAAACGATTTGAATGTTACAGAATTTTTAGAAGCTGCGATGAGAAATATTTCAGATGTGGAGATTTACACACACAATGATAGCAGGTTTAAGAAGTCCATAAGCAAGTGGAAGGATTATCAGTGGACCTGTGCTTATTGTAATATTGAATTTTTAAATGTGGAAACATTGAGACTGCACAGCCGCATAACACATGGAAGATGTAATGCGTTTGCTTGTGTATATTGTAAAGATTTTGAATGTAGCACCTTTGATGGCTTTGTCAGCCATGTAAGGCAACATAAAAAGAAACTTAGGTTTGTGCTTTTCCTAATTTTAATAATTGACAGATAAACAGAAAGGTATCTGGTATTTTAGTTTTAGCTTAATAAGTAGCAAAAGAAGTATTGTTGTTTTCAAATATTCTTTGTTTTTACTTTTAAAATGTCTTTATTAATAGTTATATGTCAATTGTATTTTCAGGAAACGTTGTGAGTATTGTGATGAGGCTTTAGATGAAGAATTCTCAGATGTCCACATCAAGTACCATTTTAAAAATAATGAACTGCCTTGCCACCTATGTGGTGAAATATTCCCAAAAGATGTGTTACAGGACCATTTAGAAGAATTTGAACCAAACAAGCCAAAACGAAAACAGAATAGAAAAAGGGGTACCCCTCTCACTGTAGAAGAGTTGACTTGTCGACTTTGCAACAAGGTCTATAAAACACCTAATAGCCTACGCGACCATCAAAAATTACATGCTAAGAATCGTAAAAAAGACTACACGTGCGACCGGTGCGGCAAAATGTTTTATAGCAAAGGGGCGTTGACGTCACACATAATGGCCCACGACCAGGTGCGGCCGCACGTTTGCAAGATATGCAACAAAGCCTTTCTGTTTCCAAATATGTTGAGACGCCACGTGGAGATGCACTCCGGGGTGAAACCTTTTTCTTGTGAGCAATGCGGTAGAGCTTTCAGACTGCAGTATCAGTTGAATGCGCACAAAATAATACATACTGATAATATGCCCCACGTTTGTAAGTATTGTAACAAAGCTTTCAGGTTTAAGCAGATTCTGAAGAATCATGAACGCCAACACACTGGTCATAAACCATACAGCTGTGAGTTCTGTGGAATGAAGTTTACGAACTGGTCCAACTTCAATAAGCACACGAAACGGAGACACAACATGGACACATCAAAGAAAAAAATCACCCCAGAAGGCGTGTTTCCTATAAACCCCCAGACTGGAGAGATAGTGCAAATGCAAGATGCCGGGACGGAAGAGTGGAGATCTAAGATTTTGATTCCAGGAAAAAGAGGAAAAAAGAAAATGAAGAAAGGGGACAATGACGAGTTAGCGTGATTTTAGGGTTAAGTATTTTTATAACTTATCAAATAATGCCATGGTAATAAATTGTATTTTCAACGCGATAATGTGCCATCAAATTAAGTTTGCTATTTTTAACCTGAACCTTTTGCTAAACTATTTCTCGCTAACGTCTAAAGAGAAGATTTTTCGCGTTCCCTTTTTCAATTTAAATAGTCAAAGTGAATCGATAAGATGTGCGAAGTCAATGGCGTCGATTGGTTTTTTCAAAACGCGAAAAAACCAATCGACGCCGAGTTAACGAGGAAAACTATCACTGCTTGGAATGTCGTACCTACCGTGTTATAAATGTGCAATAAAATACATTTTCTCTCAAGACTTAATTATTCAAACGAGATTTAGTAAAGTTAACCTATTTTAATGAAGGGTGCCGACGTGTCGTTTTTTACGTTTGTCACTTTCTCGCGATCAGGGCGAGGCTCCTCGGCGATATCTTCTCGTTGACGATTCTTTTGAAAACGCAATTGTGGATGCCATTTTCTCTTAAATATAAAAGCCTATCGTACAGAATAAAGTTTTCAAAAACTGATTGAAGGCGATTCTGCAACGCTATGAACACGGCCGCTCTCTTGAACGTGTCTCGAGAATGTCTGCGCCAACTTAATAGCAGTTCTTCTCGATTAAAGACGGGAGTGCCAGAGTCGCTATTGTCCTTGTGAGTCAAATAGAAACCATGGTCCGCAGCGTTCTTTAGATACGAGGAGAAATCGTTTTGGCTTGTATTGAAACGCACCGCTTTCCGCTTCTTACGTTTTAGAACAAGATTCCCTGAAAAAGTAAGTAAATTTTTAAGAGACTACGGCGCTGTTATCGTAGATACGACTCAAAAAACATAAACTTTACTTTGATGCGCATATAGCTGCAGCGTAGCTCGCGCTAACAAGGAAAACACTAAATTTTCCATCTTTTCTTGAGAGATGTTTGGCGGTTGGGCCGCGAGTCTCAAAAACGGGACTTTCAAATACTTGAATCCTTCGTACGTATCGTAGAGGATCTTCAAACGTTTAGACAAAGGGAAATTTTCAAAACCACCCGCGCGCGTTTGCTTCATTTTATGATAACAGCATGGCATAATCACTAGTGCACGTGCGTCTTCCATTTTTTGAAACAAATGAATGGCGTCGATCGTCAAGTCTGCGCAGGCGTGAAGGCCACAGATCGAGAAGCTCCTTGCGTCGAACTTATCTTTAAGATATTCCGCAATATGTGTTCTCGAATCTTCAGTGACCGTGTGCTTGATAAATTTGACATTTTGCCTCGAATCTTGGTGGTATTTTCTCTGTCGCTTCTTCGCCCCCGCGTAATGGCTTTCGTTGCATTCTAGTGCCAAAACATTTAACCGGTTCGACATAAAAATCTGTTGGTCTAAGTAACCCTGAAAGGAAAATACATACATACGCAAACTGACACTTTAAAAAGATATATTCCGATGGCGTTACCTACTTACCAAGCCAGATCCAAAATCCACAACGGTATTGCAATTAACGTCCTTACAAATCCTTCCGATTTCTTTGGCCAAATAAAATATTTCGTGTTTCTTTTTCTGGCTTATAGGAGCTTCCACGAGAAGTTCAGAATCCGTATCTGCCACAAATTCCATATTGTTTATTTCTAATCTGTTTAATTTAAAAAACAAATTGTTTAAGTAATCGTTGCATAAGAAGTTAGCTAAAGTAAAGCTCTCGTCTAAAACATCGACAGGTTCTAGTCCTCGTATATCAATCTTATCCAATGTGTTCTCGATCAGGATGTCAGTGTTTGGAAAATTGTACAAATGTTCAAATTCTATTAAAAAATTCAGGCACTCTTCAAAGTATTCTTGAGGACATTTGTGGCTCGCTGGCAAACTCATTGTCTTCTGTAATCAAACATCCACTATAATACCGACTCTGATTTATTTTTTTACTTAAATACTGCAATGAAGCGGGAAGTAGCAATTTCAATAAAAATAACAATTTTGTAAACGATCAATAATTTATTTTAGAACATTTTCTGCCTAGACCACATGCTCATTACATTATTAAGAAGAGAAAGATTATTAAATTAAATTAAGATTTTATATCGCCATTCGAGTAGAACTAATATTAAACAGTTGTCTTTTCGTTAAATTCTACTCTATGACATAACAGAAATATAATTAGAATGGAATCTTAACATGTCACATCCTTCTCTTGCGGTCCGCTCACTTTCTCCCAGGCTTCGTTATTCTTGCACAACTGCTGAGATGCTCCCTCTCCAATGACGCACTTTCCAGACCACTTGTCGGGCGTCAAGTACTTCTGACACACTTCTAGAAGGTCGTCCCGATTGACTCCCAGAATCCTCTCCCTCTGGGTCTTCCATATATCGTAGGATAAGCCGTATAAAAATAGTTCGACTCCCTTCATGTACTCGGCCACGGGCGCGTCCATTTGCTGTAGGATCGATAGCTTAGCTTCAAAGAGGTTTTGGTCATCTACTAGACTCACATTTTTGTCCATCCAATCTGTCGTCTCGTCGTAAACGTCCATCGTCAGTCGGGAATTCGGGTCTCTATATGAATAGAAGTTAAAAACGCCATCCATTGTTAACATAGCGCCACCGCCGTACGCGCCATTTTGTTCTCTGACGACCGGATGAAGGTATTTCGAAGTTAAGAATCGTGAAAGTACCCTCAATTTTGCATAGTCGGGATGCATGTAAGAGACCGTCGGGATAACTTTTGCACAGTAATTAACTGGGATGTTCATAGATACGTGGAGACCGCGGTTTTCCTTAGACTGCACCATTGAATCCATGAAATTAATCCTGTTGACATCTTTGCAGTCTTGATTTTGACACATACTAACGCAGAACTTGTCTATTTCTTCGTGAAATTCATTGTTGTTACGGGAGTAATGGACGGCAGCCCTTAGGTTTCCACCTTTCAAGATAGTTTTTCCTATACTGTCCACTATAGCCTGTATATCCTCAACTTTATACTTTTTCTGAGTTTGTTGCATGTTCATTATATGTTTAATACCCAAGAGACTCTCTTTACATGCATCCACAGAGGAGACCAGAGACCGAGCCGCCTGCATCGCATAGACGTGACCACTGTCGATAATTCCGTTAGTTAAAGATGAGCAATAATTCCCAAAAAGCATTGTCATTCTCTTGCTATTGTCAAATTTGGGTTGACTGAATATTTCAGACCAAATATCCATCATTTTGGGTAAATTTTCATCCAGACAGTGACTGCTTATTAATACGCCCTGCTCATATTGTTCTTCTAAATCTATATGCTCTGTCACATGTGTAACAAAGCTCAGTCCAGAAGTCGTCTTACTAACAAATTTATCAAAATCTCTGTAGTTATATGATTTTGTATCAAATTTATCAAGAATATAATTAAAAAAAGGTAATAGTGCTCTCTGATCTTCACTTAAATTTTCTGCACCCAGCACTCCCTTAAAATATGTTACTCCGTTGGTATTTGCTTCGCATAATTGCAATGGTATCGTTCCAGATACTGTGTGTTTTAGAGTTGGAGCAGTTTTGCTCAATATGATCTCATCTATTTTTAAGCAGGGAAGAATATCTAGATTCTGAACTTTCTTTTGTGCCCTCGATAGCTCAATGCCATCCCTAAATATGTGTTCTTTCTCTTCAGATGTCAATTCCTTCACCTTAGATTTTAATAGCTTTGCTTCTGCCTCATTAAAAACATCATCAAACTTAGGATCAGGTTGCATTGTCATAATGAGCTTGTGATTGTTCAATATGAAATATTTTTCAATAACATCTTTAACATAGTTTGAGTCCATTAAATTTGTTTTTAATTGATCCAAGAGCTGATTAACTTTAAGGGCTTTTAAAATTGGACCATTGTGGTTCCAAAGGGGCATTAGGTTAAAAAGCACATTTAGTCCAAATTTAGGCGACTGGTGTTTGATTGACAGCTCAAAACCATGCAGTACACTTTCAATGTGTTCTCTTCCAAATCCTTTGCTGTGGATATCCTCTATAGTCTGATTTGCTATATTCTCTATAAGATCAAAATTTGTTTTTTCAACATCTCTCAAACCCACAACAAACAAGGTGTCTCTTATCTGGTTGTCATAACCAGTAAGAGAATTGTAACCACCCGAAATATTCTTCTCTATTAAACTCTTGTAAAATGCAGAGTTTGGGCCAATAATCATCAACTCAGCTAGGGCTGTCATCATAAATGTATCATAAACATCAGTAATATCGGACATGACATAACCCATAGCAATTTGGTTCTGTTTCTCCACTGGTCCACCATATTGATCTACTCTACATGGAGTGGAGGTCCTTTGAATCATTTTCCACCTCTCTTGGGGCTTCACTACAGAATTTTTACTATCCAAATACTCATATTTACTGAGGTACATGTCATTCACAAACTTCAAGTTTAGCTCTAAAGGAAAATTACCATATGAGAATATCCTTGCATTACTAGGATGATAATATGTTGAATGGAAGTTCTTTAATTGAGTATGTGTTAGTTCTGGAATGCATAAGGGATCTCCACCAGATACGTTACCATAAGTGCCCTTTGGAAGAATTGTATTTATGAACTTTTGACCAAATAAAGAGCTGGTTTCAGAAAATGCTCCCTTCATTTCATTATAGACTACACCTTTAAAAACAAGTGGAGACAATTTATCTTCTAACTTCTCATGTTCTAATCTCCAACCTTCTTGCAGAAAATCCAGTCTTTCTAAATTAGGTTTAAAAACAGCATCCAAATATACTTTTTGCAAGTTTCTATAATCTACTTCATTTTGAGATGAGAATGGGTAAAATGTATAATCTGGGCCGGTCAATGCATTCATAAAGGTGGCAAGAGATCTGTTAAGCATTTTGAAGAATGGATCTCGAACGGGATATTTCTCTGAACCACATAAAACTGTGTGTTCTAATATGTGAGGTGTTCCCCTGGAATCTTGAGGTGTTGTGCGAAATCCAATGGAAAACACATTATTTGGATCATCTCTCTCTAAATGTAAATATTCAGTCTTAGTTTTCTCATGGGTCAGAAAATACGCTGTCATGTTGTACTCCTTTATTGGTTCTACATCCGTACAGATAAATCCATGATATAATTTACCAGGCAGCAAATTTTTGTAGATATTTTCTTTCTTTTTCAAAATCCCACTACTGTTGTTCCTGTGACCAAATTTCCTATGTAGTCCGCTTCGAATTGACGCTATTCTCGAATACATTTTAACTTCGTCCCTGCAAAATAAGCATCACAGATAGTTCACCGGTGTAAAACAATCGCGATCGCTAACCACGCGATGAGCTAAACACGTTTTATTGTTCATTCGACTTTTCTCACGTTGTAAAACTTAATTTCAGAGGCGAAAACAAAAGAAAATGATGTAATGTTATGATACTTACCAAAAAGTCTAAGGAATTATCTAGTTCAACAACGTAATAATTGAGCGTGTTTGCTAACTTTTTTCGCCCAACTATGATTTATTACTTATCAACATTGAAACAGTAATCTTAATTTCTAGTATTATTATAGTTTTGCAAAGCCGGGATTAATTTTATAAAATCTCGACAGTGGCTGTACTGTACTGTAGACAAAAAAATGACAATGACAGCTAATAGTGTGGGCTGTCAAAGGATATAAATTTTTTTTAATAATATTTAATGGCCTGGTAACAAGACCTTTAAGCCAAGTCTTATTTTCACTTCACACTTTTCTTCTTATATAGACCCTATAGTGTTTTTAATGTATTTGTATAACGCACTATAACACTTTTTGTTTTTAAGTAAATTACACAACTGGCGGCGGGAGGTTTCACTAGCTTCTATAACATCACTTGCCAATATAAGTCTATGAAAAATAAACATAGGGCTTTGACACTTAAAAAATATGTGTTCGATATCTCCTTCGTCACAGTAGTTGCAAATATTGCTATTTATTATATTGAACCTCGCAAGATGTGCGGGTGCGGCATTGTGACCAAATCTCAATCTTTTAATTGTAGTGATAAATTCACGACTAGCTACATCGAGCTCTTGTTTGGTAAATTGTCTTGTATAGTTCCATACCTACCATTTTCCTTTACATTTTTGATCTTCTTTCCAGAACTTTAGCCACATATCTTTTAAGGAGATATTTACATCGTTATAATAGTCTTCATATGCAGTCTTGTCAGCTATTTCATTACCAGAAATACCCTTATGTCAAAGGATATAAATGTCGATAAAAGACTTAAATATCAATATTTTTAAGAATCGTTCATCATTTAAAAAAATATTGTAGTTAAGACCTAAAAATTAACTTTATAGATTGTCAAAAAATTATAAGCACATGCCTCAATACTTAATTTCATTGTAAAGGAAAGATACGACATTGGACGAATCTCTTATATTAATCACAGATTTTCGTAAATTATGCATCAGATATTTTTATTAACGCAACATTATGTTCTAGTATGGACAAAAATCTCTATTCTTCATCCATTCGATCATCCGAATGCCTATCGGCAATAGTTAGTCCGGTTGATTAAGTTTTTGTATTTGTGTTTTATATCTTTTATAACCTGTATGTGAGTAAGAAATTTAGCGATGTATGCATCGATCACTAATACTATATAATAATTATAATAATATATAATTATTAGTGATCTATGGATATATTTTTAGTAGAAGTAGTGGTAACCATTCGATGTAGGTTCTAGGACTTAGAATCTGTAGTAGGTTTGTATCTCTGTGCCAAGTATACTTGACATAACATACCATTCCACACTCCACAGCAAAATTAAGTGTCCTTTTCAAGTGAATTCTCACGTGTTTACATCGAGGATTCAAAAAAATTTCATAACTTTTTGCAAAGAAATGTAAAATAAGTCAAAATGAGTTTATATAACTTTAAGAAGATAGCCGTAGTGCCTACGGCGAAGGTTTGTTGTTGTGATGGCAGTTTTAAACATATTTTGTTGGTTAAAAATAAACATAACCTCTCTTTTACCATATTTTCTGATTGCAGGACTTTATCGATATTATTTTATCAAAAACTCAAAGAAAAACCCCGACTGTTGTTCACAAACACTATAAAATAACTAGGATTCGAGCGTTTTATATGCGAAAAGTTAAATTTACACAACAGAACTTTCACGACAGATTATCGCGCATAATTCAGGTAATTCTTTATTTATTTATACTCCGAATGTGATCGCGTTTCTCATTTGTCATCGCCACTGTACCGTCTTGATTTTTATTTTAGGAATTCCCCAAGCTTGACGATGTTCACCCGTTCTATGCAGATTTGATGAATGTCCTCTATGATAAGGATCACTATAAGCTTGGTCTCGGACAACTGAACACAGCTAGGCATTTAATTGATAAGTATGCTTTTCAATATTGATTAATATTACTATTTCATGGGAATATTGCACATTCCCCATTGCATAGATTGCACATGAATTATTTTGTTTTATCTCAGTGTTGCCAAGGATTATGTGCGCCTACTCAAATTTGGAGACTCGCTATATCGCTGCAAACAGCTTAAGAGGGCGGCACTTGGTCGAATGGCTACAATAATGAAAAGGCAGGCCGCTAACCTTACATACTTGGAACAAGTTAGTGCTTGGATCTATACTCAAAAAAAAAATGTATGATATATTATTTAATAAATAATACTTTATAGGTACGTCAACATTTATCCCGTTTACCATCAATAGATCCTTACACTAGGACTATTATCATCTGTGGCTTCCCTAATGTTGGAAAATCCAGTTTTATCAATAAGGTACTAAACTTATCCTTTCATGTTAATATTGTTGTGTGTTATATATTATGGTATACTTTAAATTGCAAAATGTATTGATTCATATTTTATAGATCACTCGAGCTGATGTTGAAGTTCAGCCATATGCATTTACGACAAAGAGTTTGTACGTGGGACATACTGACTACAAATACTTGAGATGGCAGGTTAGTACATCAGTTTTGTATCAAAAGTAGTTTCTTGTTGTGAACAATAGAATTTCTGTCTTAATATTTCCTACATATCATTTCGATCACTTTTAGGTAATAGACACTCCCGGGATTTTAGACCACCCCCTTGAAGAACGAAATGTGATAGAGATGCAAGCAGTTACAGCATTGGCTCATCTGAGAGCTGCCGTTCTCTATTTCATAGACCCATCGGAGCAGTGTGGTCATAGTATTGAGGAACAGGTAAATACATTATTAACTTCATTATGCTGCCTATGTACATTTCAATGGCCATGATGAAACTGAATTGAGACAAATGTAGTAACAAATATAGTTGTTTTGCCTTATTGCAGATATCCCTGTTTGAGAGCATTAAGCCCTTGTTTAGCAACAAGCCCTTAATTGTAGTCTTGAACAAAATGGATGTGCTTAAACCGGAGGAGCTGCCGGAGCCAAAAAGGGCCCTCATTGAGGAGCTAGTGGCTACCTGTGCCAAGGGGAACATAGTCAAGTGAGTATCCACTGGCTATTTGACAATGCAGTAAATAAAGTGTGATTTTTTTAATAGATCCTTAGTCAAGTGTAAGCACTGTCAATAAATAACATTAAATCATATGTTAAAGTTTCTTGCCAATTCTCTCATTCTTGCCTGTCATTTGAGAAGTGGTAGTAACTGTAAATTTAGAGTTATTTCTACTGTGTTTAGTTATCAGTGACAAGGCAGTTTAATTGGTTAAAGAAGCCTGTGTCATTGATGTTTCAATATAAATATATTTTAAATATATCGCGCAATCTAGTCAAATAGCCGATTGCCTTAATTATTTGATCGTTCAGCGCGGACGGTAACTCGGAACTGCGAACGGTGCCTGTGATGAGGACCTCTACCCTCACGGAGGAGGGGGTCCAGGAGGTGAAGATTGAGGCTTGCGAGAGGTTGCTTGGACACCGCGTCACCGAAAAGATGAGGACCAAGAAGGTATACAAGAAATGGATTTAGGGATGCATTAAGTAGACAATCTTACTGAATCAACCTGGTTTAATTAATTGTTATATATTGTGGCTTAAATAATACAATTTAATGTTAGCGCAAGTTAGTTAATTATTTTTTTGTTATTATTTATTGTGTACTACCTGAGCCCGCGACTTCGTCCGCGTTTTTAATAATTTAGGCTGTTTATTTATTTATTTCATAAATTTAATAAGACACATGTACAGATATGTAAATACAGTGTTTAAGTGTTTCCTAGTTACTTTCGCATTTATAATATTAGTAAGTTCTATAAAAATTAATTATGATACATCCACACAACTTTTCAGCCCTCCTTCAATCCCTGACTACCTTTTTTTTCTAACAGCAAAAGTTTTTACAATGCATGTCATCAAAAAGGGCGCATTTAAGGCAGCCAATCTGCGTTGTAAGTGCTACTTTGCCGACACTCCCACTTGTTCTAGCTTCAACAATCACGAATTTCCATTTAAACATCTTATGTGGGTCTCGTCCACTTCGAAAAATACCGCACTAAAAATCGACTGCACCTCGGAGTCAGCCGTCCCACCGTCCCCGAAGACAGTGGTGCCAGCAGGGCAAAACGCGCCCACCTACAGGGTTTCCTATAGAAAACCAATCAGGAGTTTCCACCGCGGCGGTCTTGGAGACACGCCATCCAAACTTTTATCCACCCTTTCTACCCTCTTTTGGCATTAAAAGTAGCCTATGTCTCTTCTTAGGCTCTAGGATATCTGTGTACCAAATGTCATTTAAATCGGTTCTTTCAGAGCTACTTTCGTATTTCTAATATTAGTATAGATTCTACAAGTTATTGTCAGATTGCGTTGAAATATATATTTTTGTAAATATTGCTTTTATTAATATGACGGGTAAAAATCTTGTACGAGTTATTTAGTTATAATTCAGGTCAGTCACAAGTGATGTACTGCACTACTTGAAAACTTATTATTTTTTACTTGTTATTGCACACGAAGGCACTATAAAATTTATTTTCGATTTTTAAATTTTACTGCACTGCTGTTTATCTCTAAAATTATAGTCTAGGTCTGACAAATTTTTGTGTCACTTTAGGTGGACGGCATCCTAAACCGGCTGCACGTGGCCGTGCCCTCGCCTCGAGACAACAAGAATCGACCTCCCGTGATCCCCCCTCAAGTGCTGGCCAAGAAGGAGAAAATGGACACTGAGAGCAGAAAGAGGAAGCTGGAGAGAGAGATTGAGATTGAGCAAGGAGATGATTATGTTCTTGGTGAGTGCATTCTTAATGTGTCGCGGATTATTCTACTATTTGTTACGTTGATGTACTTAAAACTATGTTCTTAATTGCATTAAATATGTATGCTTCAGGGGGCAGGTGGTGGTGGGCACCTACGTAATATTTCAAAGATGGTACATTAGGGCATTCTAAAAACTGCACTTGTGATCCATATTGATATAAAAGTTATTCAACCTAGTGAATTGAAGACCATCTGCTACTCTTTTATCACCTATCTGAATAAGGTTTTTTCTATCTATACTGAATAAGGTTTTTTTATTATTATTCCTCAAAATTATTTTCAGATTTGCAAAAGAACTACTCGGAGATAGCGGAAGAGGAGAGGCACGATCCCATCCCTGAGTTCTGGGAGGGACACAATATCGCCGACTACATCGACCCGGACATCTTCGACAAGCTGGCCGAGCTGGAGAAGGAGGAGGAGCTGCGCGAGGCCGGAGGCATGTACGCTGTGCCCAAAATCGAACTCGACGAGACCATGCGCGAGATTCGCGACTTGGCGCGCCAGATCCGCAACAAGAAGGCCGCGCTCAAGGACGAGTCGCGCCTCGTCAAGCAGTCCACGAAGCCCGTCATGCCGCGGACCAGCCGGGCGCGGGAACGGGACCGCTCCGCGTCCAAATTGCGCTCGCAGATGGAGCAGCTGGGCGTCGACATGGCCGACACCGAGGAGGCGCACTTCGTCAAGTCCCGCTCGAGGTCGCGGTCGCTCTCCGCCCCGGCCAAGCGCGCCCGCCTCGAGTCGCAGTCGCGCACGCGCTCCGTCTCCAGGCCCGCGAGAGACGAGCAGGGCGTCAAGGACGTGGCCATGCAGAGGCGAGCCAAGAAGATGGCGCACCTCGCTATCTCGAAGAAGACCAAGAAGATGGGGCTCAAGGGCGAGGCGGACAGGTTCATCGGCACCAAGATGCCCAAGCACTTGTTCGCGGGCAAGCGGGGCGTCGGCAAGACGGACCGCAGATAGTACCGTTGTACAGTTCGTAATAAAGTTGGAAATAAAGTGACGCTGAGATATTTTACTATTTTATTGGAAACAAAATATAATTATGCTATATATTGCACGTGACTTTCGAGTCGATACAAGATTGAGCAAAACCCACTTTCACTTAATCGTTTCAAAGAATTTGTTTTACATTTTCATTCGATAACTTACGCACGGACGGACAAAGTTCCGTCCGTGCAAAAAAAAATGAGATTCACCAAAGTATGATCCGAACGGGAACTGAATTCGGCGATGGTCCCTCGAACGCGGGATGCTAAATCGGATCCAAAAAATCCCTTTACCGTGATAACAAAAATAACGCAATATAATACAAAATACATGTGTATAAAATAGATAATACTATGTAAAGTGTATCGCCATCGTTCCTAGTGGCCATTGGTAAAACGAAAAGTCAATATAATTACAAAACATAGAAGTACATACATTTTCGGAATAAACAATCTTTAAGTGACTTTCGTTTGTGCCTGTTTCCGTTTCCGCCGTGCAGTTCAATGAAGAGATTCTGAATGCAGTTCGAATCCGCTGCACTCGACAACCGCAATTGCGGGCTTCGTGAAACTTCGAGTCTATTTCACAAAGCTTACAATACAATACTTCTTAAATTAACCTAACTCAGGAACCCCAAAGAGTCCTCACACAATTGATATATCTTAAATTCCCATTACTACGTAGTTTACAGATATCCAACCGAATGATAACAGTTTATATAAATCTCGTTACCACTATTACACTTCATTTTTAACAGATTTCGAATTTAGTTCAGAGCAACGAGTTCACTATTTGCAATACGAGTAACAAAATTCAGAACCGAAATTAACTACGCGGCTGCAAGAGGTCACTTCGAAGACGACGCGATCGACGAAGAGGAGACATTCAATAACAACTACGATTCGATAAGAACAACAAAACGCCCTTACGACAGAGACGCAACGCGACTTCGTCCTCTCGCTGGTCTCGTGCCGCGCACGACCTCCTTTTAAATCTTTACACGACTAAATGAATTACGCGCGGATTTTTGTGCTCTCTGTGCGTAAACAAGGCGACGTAGCTCGTCATCAGAACTAGCTGCGGAATGTCCGTAGAGGTCACAGACAGCACCCAAACCCGCGCTCTACGGCTAGTTTCGGCGAGCAGAGACCGCTTAATACTATCGCGAGCCGACGGCTCCGACCGCGTCCTACTATATACGTTCGCCACACGATTTCATTTCTTTCCTAGAAGCGGAATATGAGAATTTTCGAATGGAGAGCTCGTCGGGAGGCCGACCGCGAGTGGCGAAATAATAACGTAAAAACACATCACAGTCACATGTTCGTGGACCGACGTTCGGCGCGCGCTCGACGCGGTTCAATCTCGTACGAGGAGCGCCCTCTACCGGCAGATATATAAGTTCAGCGAGCGCGGCTCGGGCCGATACGAGATCGCGTCCCGCGTTGTCTCCGGCGCCATCGGTCGTCCGCTCCTTTCTTAACGCCACAGCACTTGATGAGGCTGTATGGCGGCGAGGTGGGCGGGCGACGGGGGCACCGTCGGGGGCGCGGGAGGCAGCAGCGTCTGAGCCAGACCCTCGAAGCGACCGCCCGCTTCGAAGCCGTTCTGCAAATCACATTTAAAACCACTTTCTGTCAAATTTTCAAAGCGATGTAATTCATAAAAAGTCTGGTAAATTTAAAAGAAAAAAGTGATCCTTGTTGTTCCTTACACCCACACCCATTAAATAAGTTATTTTCTATTTCTTTTCTCCTATACTTCAGGTTGCCTAGAAGAGATCGCTACTTATCGACAAGGCCGCCTTTTATTTATAAGTTAGTACGTAAGATTTTTTTTCCTCATTAGTATATATTTTCAATAAATAATAAAGCAAAAATAAAATAAATAAATCCTTACTTAGATTCTATTACACGTTTTAAAAATAAAGTATTGCGACTATGACATTTTATTATAATTAGATTCGAATTCTGTACTCTAAATAATTTGAAATACTAATTGGACCCTACATAGGTATTTTAATTTATTATGAGGTTAAGTATATTGTACTTCATTTGAGTGATCTGTTGATATATTTTGATAAAACTCACCGGAATCATAATGGTCGGTCGAAGCGGCTGAATGGAGGGTTGCATGGGGTAGTAGGGGTAGTATTGCACCGGGTAGCCGATGTACCCCGGGTACCCGGCGGCCGCCGCGTACATCGCCGCCGCGCCGCTGTACATCTGTCGAACGAGGCCGGATTAGCGGGCGCCAATTAATTAGCCGGCCTTTGGGAGCCGAGTGCTCACCGGGAGCTGCTGACTAAGCGCCGGGATGGCCTGGTGGTGCTGGAGTTGGTCGTACGGCGGAGGCGCGTACACTCCGCCGGCGCCGGCGCCTGCGCCGCCGAACGCCACTCCGTACGGTGAACCGCCCGCAACTGCGAAGGCGACATAAATAGAGACGTGCAGCGAGAGGAAAGCGTCGACGCGACGTCGGCCACCTACCTCCGTACTGAGGCGCCGCCTGGTGCGGAGGGGCCGGCAAGAAGGGCCCCTGCGGGGGCTGCGGTTGGGGATACGCACCGAGGGGAGGAGTCACTGCAACAACTCGACACTTGAATCGTCGGCTCGGGGGAGCCGAGTCCGAGCGGACGTCGCGCCGACCGAGAGACGTTAACGAGGGCCCCGACGGCCGTCGACTACGCTTCGTGCGATTTCTGTCGCGAAATCGAACGAACGTGGTCGAACAAATGGTAACACATACTACACACCAATGAGTCGGGCCACCGTTCGTTTACGTTGCGACAGTGCTACTCGGGGACTGAGCAATAATCGTGTTCTCTTTCGACGTTTGAAAAATCATCATCTCCGAGCTCCGCGTCACAATTATTAATCAGTCGCCCGGCACCCTCGTTAAGGTCGCGAACCAAGAACGACGACTCGCTCTTGTCGGTCGGGACGACGCCGCGTGTCGGACTAAATCGCGCACAAGCGCGCCGCAACCCAAGCCCGAGCATTCACGCGTGACGCAGTGATGTAACCGCGATGTGTCGCTACTCTTAGGCCGCGCACAATCTACGAAACTTTTCATTATCGATATCACATCGGCGACACTACAGCGCGGCTCACTAGCGTCGGTGTTAACGACAAGCGATGCCCCTACGACGAGGCTTCGAATGGTGTCGATCGAATCGCTTTCGACTCGAAACTCGGTCGCATCGCTTCCGCGTTAATTGTTATTTACAATGCGGTCGACGGTCGTGCCGCCCGGAGAGGTCGAACGACGGATTAAAGAAGCGGTGCGAGTGAGGAAAACTTAAGTAAAACAATCATCACACGATCATTAATCTTACGGAAAACATTAGTCATCAATTTAGGTCTAAAGGTCCGGCCGCCGCGCTCGCCGCTCGCCGCGAACGAGACGGCGAGGACCCGAGGCACGCGAGAGCTTCCTCCGCCGGAGTAGAAGCCCGCGCGTGCGCTCTTTTGCGCGTCGGGCTTCCACTTATGTGCGAAACGAGAACTTGCAGGAATGAAGAGATTGAGAGCGAAAAGGGCGAACCCGCCTCGCGAACGTTCCTTCAAAATATCATCTATGGTAAATTAATCTAGCTAAAGTTATACCAAGATTTACTGCAGCCGATCGTGGATCGGTAAACTGGGTCGTTTTGCTGTTTAGAAACTAGAAAGCGAATGCAAAGAAGCGACTGGTGGAAAATAAATCTATGATATGAATGCGCCGAAGGACAGACATGCGGCGAACGAGAACACTACCCCGAGGCATGCGGCTAGAACTAAACAGACGTGAGAAACCGAGGAGCGAACGGATCGTACGTCAAATGCCAAAATAAAGATGCACGTAAACAGCAAAAGTTCGAAAATGCACTAAAATCCTGGTACAGAGCACTTAAATACTTAATTATTAACTCTATCCTGCCCCACCACCAGTCACGGGCCGTGTCTTAGCAAAGCGTGACATCTGGAACCCTGTGGAATAGGATAACAATATCCAAGTCGGAAGAATTGAGTTAGAAAGGTCTCGGCTGTCATCGCGAGCCGAGCGATACCGCATGCAAAGTTTTCGTCTGATAACTGTGGACCGGCGAGGGTGCACTCGTCAACTCGGTCTCGCCTCAATTAAACGAGCGAGAAATACACAACACTCAGTGTGTGACCGGGTCCACCGTTATTCGAAGCGAGTGTTGTACACTAATATTCAGAATGTACCTTTCTAATTCAATGTGTTAGAAAACGTGAATAAAAGGGCAACGGGATCGTTTATTACCTTACATTGTTCCGATATCGGCCAGATATACAAATTGACTAGGGCAAAAACGGCAAAAGACTCGACGAGAGCCACGGCAGCACCGGGCCATTCAGATTTGGTGTAACAGGCGATCCCATCGCTTAATTGACATAGTGTACAATATAATTCTAAAAAATGTTGCAAACGCTATTTGCAGCACTTTCCCCTCACCCTACTGCGTCTACAAAAATTGGTTCAATGTTTGTAGACTGAAAAACAATTCAGCGAAAACTGCGCTGACTTGCTTCACTTATACTAGGTATTAGTAACACTCTTCATATCAGTGAGGCTTTCTGCTTAGACGGAACGAAACAAATAATATGAAATTTATGCAAATATGTTGTAAGTTTTCTGTTGAGAGCTATTAAATCTTAAAAAAAAAATTTACATATCAAAAAACCACACTATGAAACTGACCACATAATTAAATTAGCGTTATCTATAATGATATCAAATGAGGCGTCCCCACTTCAAACAACCCATGGAGACGCCGAAACAGAGAGGCAATAGCTACAACAATAACAAAGGAACAGAAAAAAACATCTACAATTGCCTCTATGTTGAGAAAGGTGCAATAATATTAGCGACAACAGAGACATGACAGGCCTTCAAAGTAAATTTTAAATTAATATAAAATATGTATCTCAATGTGAGTCGGATCTTCTAAAGGGCTGTCATAGGAAATAATTTATAAAAAGGTAAAAAAATAAGCTGTAAAGAAAATAATTTAATAATAATGAAATAAAGGGCAGATCATCAGAAAGAGTGAAAGAACCCTGAATGGTTATCCTATCAGGTCGAGGAATTCAAAGTTCTTGATAAAACAACTTGTTTTTTTACCCATTAGTCTCAGTTGCTCAGAGCAGTTTTTGCTAATATTGAGAGTTATGAAGCCCAAACACAAAAATACAGCCAAATATTTTGTCCTTATCCTTATGCAAACTGCTCCAAACAAAGTCTAGATGATTCCTTTATGATTCACTTGACTCAAAACAGGTTTTTGAAAAATATTCAAAGGTCATTGAATGTTTTACTGTATGTCTACCGAGTGAGCCACTGACTATCTAATTTCGGTGAAATCATATAAAAGCCATATTACATTATAATGATAAACACATACAATCGCCCACACGCCGCACATATCATATATTGGTTTTTCTATTGTCCAAAAAAAAGGAAAAATAATAAAGAAAAGTCTGTGTAGTGTTATTACATGATATTGAATAGTCGTCGCCCGATGATGGAGTGCGCAGACCCTTGGCGGACCTGTAGAAAGGGGGGGGCGTCTAGGATAGGGCAGGGCATGGACAAATTATTATTATTATCTTAGAAGCGACAGGCTATCAGGCATAGGCCCTTCGCCTATCGGATATTCAAAGTTCATTGCACAAGTGGCAACATATGTAACGACGAGGCTGCAATAGTATTTACTATTCTCAGGAGTGTTGTACTTCCAAGATTATAGTGATTTTTTTTTTAAATATTGCTACAACGACCTTCGTGAACTAGGCCAATATGTAGGTATTTGAATATTGTAAAGAATTGTTTTTTGTAATCATTACAATATACATGAAAAAGATTAAGTTTTTCTCCTAGACGACAGCAATGTTCAGAATAATGCGAGGAAGGAAGCTAAAAACATTGCATTTGTGAAGCTAGTGCAATGCGTAAATCGATTTCGGAAGTTACATCCCGCCTATCCGCCGTCTTCCATCTTGAATTTTGCATTATCGATCGCAACACCAAAGTACCACATTTCGTCTTTTATCGACTGATAATGCACTATTTATTACAGGATTAGACGTTTGCATCGAATAACGGAAAAAGTAGCCATTTAACTCGTTTAACTGGCCCCAGTTCGTTACGTATGTCAACCTTTACAGTAATTACAAGAACAAAGAAATTTGTAAATAATTGATATAAATACCTTTCTTGTCTGCCATTTTATTAAACTACAACGATTTTACTAATAAATAATCCCGTTGCGATATACTGAGTGCGAGATTTAGAGAAAATTTGCGATGATTAAGAAAAATTGCAGTCGCAGTACGTTTCGGATTCTCTCAATAAACTAGTGCGGTGCCTCCAGTCCACAGACCACAACATCGATTTTGTATAATACTATTACTGTAATCGACAAACCATTACCGATTAATTGTTGTATCTGTTAAGGAGCGAATATTTTATTATATTATTTAAAAATGTAGTGTTAATGATTTTAAGCCCAAAAATCGTCAATCTTCTCTTTATATTTATCCGATTACCGATTACAAAAAAAGGTGGACCTCATTTCGCGAATATCTTCGTCGTATAAACGATTTGTTGATCCTTATTTTTTTTTGTTAAGATATTTTTAAGTTGGTTCCTTGATGAGCAATCATGGATCAGTATTTCATTGTTGACGGGAATTTGTAAATATTTAATGATATTTTAAAACTCACAAAATAACGTTCAATTAAAAATTTATATGTAGTTTTAGTTCCAACAATCGAACATAGTCAAAGTAGTGTTTTGCCACAGTAACTAAAGTTGCCACAGCAATTGATATTTCTATCCATACATATTATAAACAATGAAAAAAATAAAAAGTTGCTATTTTATACATTTACTATCTTACAAAAAATATTGCTATATATTAAATAATTCTATAAATAAGTGAATTAATGTAGGAGTTCAGCGTACATAAAAAACGTTTGTTTGTTTTTAATTTATTACGGCAATGTTTTTCTTAAGTTAAATGCTAAAATTAGTTTCTTTTTCTACACTTTCGACAGCAGCATCCATTTTCCTCCGCACCTGTAACATGAAAAGAAAGTAACACTGCAATTTTAACGCCGATGAAAATATATTTCCCCTTTTCAAAGCCTTTGTTTTAGTTGGCCCCGCAATTTGAAGATATACATATAAACCAATGCTCAAATGCTACTGAATGTTAGTGTGTGTGTAAGTATGTATCTTATTGTCACAAGTAGAAGCAGTTTGTATGATGAGGCTTGCAACTTTAACATTTATACAAAGAGATTCGTATAAATGTTAAAGTTGCAAGCCTCCACTCTATGCTAGTTTGTGACCTGCACTTGGCGACGAATCGGGCGTCGTAGGCCCGCTGAAGGGGATGTCGGGCGCAGTTAGAGGCCGGCAACACTCGCGCTCCGCAGCGGCTGCACTGGCGCCACTTGCCGCATCCTTTCTCGCCGCCACCGAAGTACATGTATCTGTCAAATTATGTCAACACTGTACCTAATAGCTTATAAACATATTTTGATGCTCAACAGAAAATCAGAGGTGATTGCCAGGTGACAGATTGTGCCCATTAGTGGAATTTACCTGACAGCGTCCATATCGAAAGAGGCACTCGACTCGGACACCGCGTACGAGGGAGCTTCGGGCACGTGCCGCAGCGCCTCAGGCTCCACGTCGTACTCGAACTGAGGACACGAAACGAATTATTAGTCGGGTCGACTGGGCGCAAAAGCGTCGCATCGCTCTCGCGTGGGACTCACGTAGAAGGGCGGCGGGCGGCCGTGCGGCGCGATGACCCCGCAGCGAGGCAGCGACTCCCACACGCGGCCCGGGATCTGCGCGCACAGGGTCAGCCACTCCTCTGCAACGCGACCGATTTCAGAAATATGCAAAACGTGATACTTTAAGCGACGTCACGCTGGAGGCACACGCACCGATGAGGTCGGGTTTGATGGCGTGCTGCGACACGCCGAGGCGGGCCAGAGCGCTCTGAAGGGCGGCGCCCGAGTCCACTGCGCACCCGATGCTCCGGGCGCTCGCCCGACACACCACCACCAACTTCCGCAGCAACGTCACCGCGGAGACGTCCGACCACAGATCATAGCTGAAAAGACAACAAGACTCATTCTCGTTCGATCGAAGTACGAGCGAATACCGACTGATGAATGCCCACGCGCCATTGGATAAATAAGCCTTCAATAAGACCTCACCCGTGGTGCGAGGCCGACGCTTGCAGCGCCGCCAGCGTCGTGAGCGCCGTGTGCAAAGCGCGTTGGAGAGGTCGCCGCAACGCTTGCAGCGGATGAAGCGGCGGAAGCGCCGTCTCGCCGATCGCCTCTGCCTTTGCTTCGAGGGCTATCAAATTCTGAAAAAGCAAGTAAACAGTAAATCTGACCGTTCCCACTGCGATAAACGCTCCTCGACAAGGAAAACAAGGTCACTGCGACGTCGCTACCTTGTCGTGTTCGCCGCTCGAGTCGTCGAGTAGTGCCTGCAGAGCTTGAAGCGTGGAATTGGCGAGAGCGGAGCCCGGCGCTCCCGTGTCTTTGTCGTCGCAGCGGAGTGCGCCTGCGCACGCCGCCACTGTCGCGCTGCACATCAGCAGCGAAGTGAGATTCGAAGTGCTCGCCGCTGCCGTTGGAATCATGCTGGAAAAATCGCCCAGAATTAAAAGAACAAACAACAAAGTCAAAGCATTCAAGTAGTATACATACCTACAGAGGAGCATCCGCAGCCGAAGCCAGCTGTGGTAGTAATGTTGCTGGAACGCTTGGGGCTGCCGTAGGAAGTTTTCTGTTATCCTGAAAGCACCCAAAAGGTCTCAGCGTCTTGCATTGATGATACATAATTTATAAGTTGGCCAGCAGGACTGACGGGCTGACGAGTCGGGATTATTGTCATTATTTTTTTGAGGAAAGTTGTTATTGGCTTTTTTTTATTATTAATAAATTGAAGCTTTCAAAGAACTTTTGAGCTTTCTTATTTCGATTTCTATATGAAAATCAAAGCTAAAGTAGAAACGTTTACAAAATCCAGCCGCGCGAATGCATCCTGTTTAATGTAAACTATTATTCTCCATTTTGTATATTCGAGAAAAGATACCAAGATCGAATTATTCTTGCAAAGGAATAATTTTCGGTAGTGAAACACAATAGTTCAATTTCCTGGTTTATATAAGCCAGTTTTAATGTCGGTTTGGTAATTCGTATACATTTAGATCATGGTCAAACATATAAATTTAGACTCGTCATGTCTTGAGTGTGATGAGAAGGAGAAAGCAAGCATCCATCGCTTCGCGTAATGTATGTACGCAGAATTATTTCGGAACTGTCGCTATGAAAGAACCTGACTTCAAAGAACAAGAGGTGGAACTGAGAATGACATTTTGTTAAACCTTACATCCTCGGCAGAGGAGGAGACCGTAGCTTTCAGCGAGTGGGGGCGCAAAAACAAGATATTCTCGATGGCGGCGACGACCTTCTGGCACTCACCTCTCGTAGAGCGCCTCGAGCACGTTGGGCTTGAGCGTAAGCAGCGCGTCCAGGCAGTCGTGTCCGCTCACCATCGAGTACTCAACGAGGCCGTTTAGCTGCACCACCGCGTGCTGGCTGGCTGCGGTCGGAAACGAAAGTTAATACATGGAGGTGGGCCACGAGGGCCGAAGGTCGAATATAACTCACGTAGATCCGCATGAATCTTGTAGAGGTGCAGCTGCGAGTGCGTGTCCAGGGCGACGGCCACGCTCGACGACCACGACACGTCCACGCTCCACACGCGGGCGCACGCCGCTCCGCTCTGCCGAATACGCGAACGGTCAATTTCCTTCGGCTCTCGACCGAGGAGCGCGAAAAGAGTAGGTCGGTACTTACGGGTAATGCGCCAGGGCCGTACTTAGTCTTCTTGGGTGGAGTGGAAGACGGCGCGCACACCTCGGTGCCCGTCACCACGGGCCGACTGCAAAGCTGTTTCAAATTTGAGATTTAAAAATATACGCCGTTATTAAACGAAAGAACGCTTTAACACTATCACCGCCACTTGAAGACTTACGTAATGGTGCGAATCGCCCAGCAGATGTACCGCTCGCGGAGTCGCCAGCACGGCGAGGGGCGAATTCAGCTGCAGCTTGCAGCTGGCTATGCACGTGCCCAACTCCCCGCTCTCCATTGGCCACGCACCGGTGGGTTGCCAGCTCTACCGCGGGATTAACAATTTGACGTTTGATTATGATAATAAATAATGCTTGTACCTTTTGAGATCTCACTTACAAGAGTAGAGAAGCAGTCTGCCGAAGCTTTGGCCCCACCGCCGGGGGTCGTGCTGCCTTGGACGGGACCTGTGTTTTATCGCAATTATATGTTCTAATCGTTCGTGAGCGTCTTAATTAACTAGATATCAAACAAAAGTATTGTACCCTTGTATAGGAGTTTGTGGAGGGGATAAGCACGCTCCGTGAGCTTCCACATGCTGAGCGTGTTTCCGGCTATGAGCAGGCTGTCCATGTCGTCGCTGCAGTTCCAGCTTATCGACACTGGAAATATAAGAAACGGTGGATTTATGAAAAAATTGACAAACTGATTGCAAAAGCAACTCGACCAGACTTTAAATAGCGATAAAAGCCGGATCCTATCTGTATGTGAGTGAACTGCGAACCGGGCATATGCACCGCCTCGTCGGGCAGATAGAGCGTCGGCAGAGGCGTGACGTGCAGAGAAACCGGCGCGAGCGCCAGAGGCCGTGACACGCTCACCAGCGCCGCCCGGATTACGCGCCGCGATGCACACACGCTGCTCGCCGCTATCACGATGTTGCCGTCTGAAATGACGGAGTCTGCTGGTTATTCTGAACTGACGGCCTCGTCGATCAAATAACTTTTAAATGGGCACAACACAGCTTACTTTGCTACTAGGGGTGTTCTCATCATTTTGAGAAATGAAAAAAAATATGCATCTAGCCAAATGGACTCGAAATCCTTTAACAATTTCAATCATACTTTTGTGCGCGAATGCGGCAGCAGTTATCAGATCCCTAGCGGGTCGCAGCGGCTCCGTGCCCACCTGCGCCGGGCCAGGGGCGGAGGCCGGGGTCAAGGCCCCGAGCAAACCCGTAGCCGTAACCACGCATGCCCCTTCGCATCCTACACCGCTAAAAGAAAGACACAATCACTGAATGTGATGATAAACACGACACTTGTCTACACGTTATTCATTTGTTGTGAATTATAAGTTCTAATAGCTTAATTTAATATTTTTTTATTATATTTTATTTGAACTTACAATCAAACGGCCTTACAGATTGCTTACATCGCTATAACGGGTTAATTTACAGAAGTGAGAAGGAAAAAAAGGAACTTAAGATAAAAAAAAAAATTTGCCAGCTCACAATTTGCTTAATACTACTTTTTTGAAAATGTTTAATCTAATCCAACAAATATCAACGTCACAAAATTTGTTGTTAAAAAGTTCGCAGGACCGCGAAAAAAACCTATGTTTGGCATAATTAGTATGACTGGTGTTAGTGGAAAAAACTAGTTTTTTGCGTGAGGAGATGCGTGGTGTGTGGAAATTAATTTTACTATGTAATAAGATTGAGTCAAATTTGTTGTGTATGATTTTATAGAGAAAAAGTAGATCATACCTTGATTGCATGCACGTCTATTTATTAAAGATAGTAAGTGATGTTTGTAAGCTCTAGTTTCATATTCATTAAAATAGTTACCCGTAAAGTAATCCAAAGCCTTTAGGAACTTATGCTGAATTTTTTCTATTTTATCTATATGTACAGCATACAATGGATTCCAAACAACACTTCCAAACTCTAAAATATTACGAACGTAAGAATTGTATAATATCCTTAGGGTGTCAGCTTTTTTGAATGGCTTAGAGTAGTGAATAATCATTCCTAACCTTTTGAATGCTTTAGTTGTTATGTTGTCAATATGTATATTGAAGTGCATTTTGGTGTCCAGTTAATATGAAAACAAAGTACGCTAAGACATCTAAGGCAGGATCAGAAAGACAATAAAACAGCAGTATAAGAATTATAACTCATTTTACTCACCCAAAACCCTTCAGGGTCGGAGTGCTCCTTAATATCTGAAAGCGTTCATGAATTGGTACTTCTATTTTCTTATCTAACGCGAGAATGCGACGTCCATTGTGAAAAAATATGGCCTTTATCACTTTTTCACCTAAATGATATGGATTGTTGTAAAATATGTTTGAGTTATATTGAAAAATTTAAACACAGATTTAATATTGATAAAATTCCACATTTTTCTTCATACTCTCAGTTTAAGTTTAACACGATAGAGGATTCTTTTATAATTACCAGGAAGATTTGTTGTATATAAACAAGTCCAGTCATTTAGAAGATAATCCTTCGGTCCATACACTGACACGTCTCCTGTGGTAGTACCAACTAAAAGATTCTCGCCTTCCCCATCCCATTCTAGAGTCGACACCTAGAATGGAAATTGACAATGATTAGCATTTCAATACTTACATGTAAAAGTTTTGGCAAGAATTTAAGTATAAAAAGTTACTATAAAGCCCCACATTGCATATATTTTTACACTCAGATCTCAAATGTTATAGCAAATATGAGAAAGTATCTATGAAGCAATTAAGACATAACAACAACATAAGAAAGATAACTGGCTCAGACTTTTCCACGAGTATTTAAGTGTTTAAGTTAGTCAATAAATAAATGTTAAAATTACTTACAGGGTGTGTAGTACTTGTAACTTTGTGACTGTTCCAAGGTGTGTTCAAGTCGCAGACATACACATGACCACCCCAGGTATCTCCATCTGCATCCGAGAGGTCAGTGAAGGATGTAAACGCTATTATGTTTAGTGTGGAGATAGTACAAATAGGACGGACTGCTTCTGGATCTGTTGTACTGTAATATATAAAATTGTAAACTTAAATAATCACAAACATTAATTTCTTTTCGCACGGTTTTGATTGTAAGCGTCAGCTAGTCTTAACCTAAATACCAAACTTGCTGCATGATATTAAGAAAATTTCCTACAATAGTAATAGTACTAATAATATTATAACTATTGTTTACCCATCAAAATTTGGAGGTTCACATTTGAGCGGCTTCCGTCTCATCGAATATATTAAATCCATTTTGTCGTAAGCTAAGATTTCCGTATTCGTTAATATGAAAACTAAAGTTTGTAATTCCTATACATATTAATTTAAGCCAGTTACAGCCATATAACTGTAAATTAATAATAGTTTTGAAGAGTTACTTGAAATAAAATATGTGCAATAGAAAACTATAATTAATACAATTTATAACTGCATGCGACATGCGTATACATAATAATACATAAACAGCTTCAATGTCACTGCAAATTATGCAGCGCTGGCAGATGACAGCACGTTGACAGTGAGGACTGTTCTTTGAGTGCGAACTGCCGCCAATGTAAATAAATAAACTGTGATCTGTGGTTGCTGTCATTTGCACAAACATTATAATTTTTACTAGCTGTGGCAGCGACTTCGTCCGGGTAAAATAGTTATTTTGGGCATCCAAATCCGTTTGTCTGACAAATGCATATGGGCTCGGACGAAGTTAAACTAGATGACATTAAAGAACTACAGATGGAAAAAATAATAAGATTCTGCAAGCAAACCGGAAGGTTTGAAGGGGACACGGGAAGAGTTGGATGACCCAAATCTCTGCAAGGAGGAAATGGGTGAAATGGTCAGAGGACAACGTGGACTGATCACCCGTCCTGCCAAGGGTGTCCCCGATAGAAAATAATAATAATAATAATAATCCAAATCCGTTTCTGCAAACCTCTAAATCTTTGTAAATTCCAGCTGCCCATGACATCGTCGTATTCTATCATTTTTTCCCCCAATTCTCCTTCCTATCTAAAATCTAACTTTAAATTCATGGGTACGGACCCATGAATTGGTAGCTACGATTTGCGATCATCTGACCGGCTTATACTTGAAGTTCCTTCCCACAGTTCCAACTTTCTAGGCAAATACTTTCAAATTACTGCGATATGAAATACCTTACCCGTTATCCTTTAAAAGGATCCTCTGCAAGCACTTTATTTTACTTAATTACCCATCTGAATAAATTGTCACTATCTATTAATATTGTTACGCAATCCTTCTTTTAGTTTAGTTTGCGTAGATAAGTTTTGAAATTGTGTGTAAGTTTTATTTTGATATGTATAAGATTATATTTAACATTGTAAATTTTGTTTCGCCCATCGCACATCACGTTTTCCCGTAAACTTTTTCCTCATTCATCTTGGGTTGCCTAGAAGAGATCGCTCGTTAGCGATAAGGCCGCCCATTGCACTCCATATTTTAGTATATAAGTCTCGTCTACATCGAGATGAGATAAAATTTCCTACGTTTTATTCACATTTTCCGCTGTATCTTCGCTTATAGAAGCGAAGTCTAGTCGTCTAGATAGTCTCAGATGTTTATTAGTTTATAGCCCTCCTGAATAAATGAAATAAAATCTAACTAACAAAAAACTATTTTTTCAATTCGAACTCGTAAATCCTGAGATTAGCTCGAACAAACTCAACAAAAATATTATGGTTTATATTGTTTTTTTTGTATCCTCCTATATTATCAAATGACAGGATGTTATTTAAACATATATTATACTTCTTGACTTTATATCAATGTGCCATTTTAATTTTAAGTGATATAGGGCTGAATAGTCTGTGGTAGTGATAGTCACCTAGTAGATGACTGTAGTCTATGGGCTTCGATTCGGCGTGTGTACGATGGTCGGTGATACGGGTCGGCAGACGAAAATGGCGGACGTTACTGCTTCGTAGTACTGCGTCGGTGGACATTATTTTATAAAAAGTCGTGTTTTTGTGTGAAAATGTGATTACCATGAATTAAAACCTTTAGTTAAGTGTACACTTAGTGTCTTTCAAGATGTGGCGGACAGATATGTGCCGTTTCGGAATTGGAAACTGGATTTTTTTAATCGCCAGCCTGCATTTGTTTATTCATACCCAAGGTGAGCTCCTTTCTGGTAAATAAAGTCCTTATATATTGATCTAAACTTAGAATCGATTACTGTCGTTTGTGCCTACAGAAGTATTTTTCACATACCTCGTTATAATTGTTTAGCCAACGTACTTATTCCAGTGTTGTATTATTTTTTATTTAGTTAGGGATCGGGCGATGTTCACGCACTTGTGGAATAAGGTTCTTTATAATTAAAATAATTCTTAATAGAACGGAATCTTTTCAATTTTAAATACTAGCGCGTGCTTTATAAAATGTAAAGAAATAGGAAGGAGGGAGTAGCTACGTGTTTGTAGTCTTTATCGACAACGAGGCTTCGTGTTCCAAACGAATAAATACAATTTCGATTATAAATTGAGGCCCGGATATCTCGTATACGCCAATTCCGCGCGTAAAGGATTTCGAACGCGGTTTTCGACCCCGTTCGTGGAGTAGTCAGCAGATGAACCTACTGAACTGGATAACTAAATCAGAATAAGTTTGCTAATTACTTTGATTATATATTTTTTAGATTATTTACCAAGGTTCAATCGGTTATTTTTGGTACATATATTTAATTTTACGATTTTAAGTGACGGGACCCCATTTATCGAATTCTACAATTTCAAAATGAATATTTAAAGTTTAGCATAGTTAAACTAAAGCTATTGTAAACCGTTGATGGGCTCGCATTTTTACGTCGCCTAAAAATCTAGCAGACCGAAAGATAAGGATGAAGTATATCCGTGTGGAAATAGAAATGCTTGTAATTTCAGAAAAATCGCCATTGACGAAATGAACATAGCGTTTGACATGCAAATATGAACGCATCGGGAATTGAGACACCGACATCGCGATTCGCAATTTCACTCATCTTTTCGCACGCGACGTAATGTAACTTGTAACTATAATTTCCAATCCGTCGGCATTCGGCAATGCTCTCAGACTGCAATTTGTCCAGCTATAGTTTTACGTATGAAATTCACCAGAGATCACTCCCTTTTCGATAGCTATGCCGAAGTACATCGATGAAGTGGTGGAACCGAGCACGGAACGTGACCGACCGCTTTTCGAATCCTCGTCATTTGTAATATACAAAAGCGTTCGCGGAATTACAAACAGACGTGTCTCGACTCTTTTATTTATTTTGATGTGCACTTCAATTATTACTAGTGTTCGATCGACACACATGTTTCTACAGCGTATTTTTATTATTTGAGAAAAGACCACGGCAAATATGGTCGCTGTTAAACCGTGGAGTGACCCAGTGACGTCCCTTTTCAAAGTGTCGTTTATGCCACGGATATACATATAATCATCGATAATATTAGAACCAAACGACCGCAATACTCAAAAACAATTATGGCGGCCTTTTTTATTTTTTATGTCATTAATGCTTAACTCGCCGTTTTCAACGTTTCGTAAGGATCGTGTACGAGTGGGAATTCTTTCTTCAAATGTCGTCGACTTTGCTTACGTCCCCAGTAAATGTCCAACGTAAAAAAAATTCTGACACACAGTGATCTTCGACTTGAAATCTGTCCGGGTCACGTACCACCGTTCACAGATCATCGGAAACATCGTGAAGTTTGCACTTTTCAGTCTGTGGGTTTCCGATTATCTGAAGCCAAACCTCGATAATGATATACAATAGTAATGACACAGTAAAACCTGCTCGATTTGACTGACGCCATATAGTATTGTAAATAAAAGTTTCATTCGTCTTGCACTGTAATGGTAACAGCGGTGCCTCTATTCGTAAACGAAATCTCGATGTAGATCGTGAGTATTACCTGTACATAATAATTTTCTCTGCGTAGTCGTATTTTTTGCCGCGATTCGAACTTTGCGCTCTATATTGAAGAGAAGTCCGATCGACGACACCAAAATTCGCTTGAGTTGCGGCAAATTATGCACGAGTTGGGACCTCAGTCACGCGGGCACAAAAGCGACACCCCTTCCGCTTTTTGGTCGTACTTGCCCGGCCTGATCTTCCCTTCCTCGTTTGAGTAATTAGCCACGACGAGTGATAGTCTAGTAGATGTTATACGGGCGTGGCAAAATTTGTGCCTAGTATGTAGTACTGCATACGTATTTTTTTTTGTATTAGAAAAACTTAGCTCGTAGTTTTAACACTGTTAATATGTAAGTCTCGTTAGTGGAGGATCTGCGACGCGGCATCTGCACGGCGAATTAGACCGTCGCGTCGCCTGCTCGATACTCCAACCGATATCATCTCGGACATTAAGGATATAAACGTTCTCCCCGATATCAATGCTAATATCCTAATCGAAAAAATACCTAAATTAACGATAACCATCGACGGTACACATGACTCGAGCGACAAAAATTTTGTTCATTATTTTGGGAGACATCGTTTTCTTTTATTAAAAGTAACGAAATTTAACGGTCCGGCGCAGTGCTAAGTGGTGCGAAGTGGGCGACCCGAGGACGATACGATTTCTTATTTAACGCTACCCGTTAAAAATGAATCATCGCGTGACGTCGGTTATTCTCTTTTTCTAATGCGAGTTATAATTACTCTCCCAAAGAATGCACCCGGCCGCTGCATTATTTTACTTCAAAGTTATCTTAAATCAGTTTTCGTCTCATTACAAAAACGACCGGCAAGGGAAAGTAACCCTTGGCCGGCGGCCAGAGGGACGACTAAAGGTAGTGCACCGAACATGTCTTCGGTTAAATTAGGCGGCTCACTGCGGCAGTTGTCGGTGGCCGAATTAGTGGCGTTTTGAAGCCAAGCGTCGAGAGTATTCCGATCGGAGGAGCGAAGGCGGCGGGTCGTCGTGGGCCGACTTGAATCTTAAGGCTGCAATCGCGCAACACAAACGCAAAGCAGGTGAGGACCGCTCGCAGTGGGAGCACACGGCGCGCGGTCCACGCGTGGGCCTCGTCTTGAATGCCTGTCCAAACTAGAAATACGGTCGTGCGCTGTCGATTCTGGGCGTGTATGAATTATTATCGTGCTATCTACGTATGTTTAGTTTCCGAATAGGGTGAGTTTTTCTGCGCTCAGGTAGAGAGGAGACTCGTCCCAGGATACTTTGTAAAGCAGTCTATACTGGGACCTAAAGGCAACACACACATATTCCGTTTTGAAACGCGAATAGAGGGTTATAGTTTCATTCTCGTCTGCGTCGGAGTGGCGGAGTGAGGAACCGCTCACTCGATAACTAGTCGAGACCTACGTCACGATATTATGAAAGCCGCTCTTGCACCGTTTATATAATATTTTCCACGAAAAAGAGCAAAATAACTTTGTCATAATATTTTTAGCGTTAAACTACCTACTGATCTAATCGTCTGAGAACATTAAGACTTACGGTTAGAAAATTCATAACACAACTTAACATAAACATTTCTCCTACGTATTGATATGTAGAGCTATAATGCTCGAGTAAGAGCAGCGCGGGCGCACTTTCAAGCTAAATGAAATCTTATCGCTTCTTTGTAAAGTACAGAATTGTCGAGATCGGTATGGAAAATTAGCGCAGGATGCTCGGATTTCGGTCCCTTAAAGATAAAATAAAAACGACCCTGTTTTCCTGTAAGCTAAGATTGTTTATGCGAAAGCCATTCGTTGTAGACCGCCGGAGGGTGCCAAAAAGATTGAAGTAAATACGACGTTGCTGGAACAGCATTTCTGCACAGGCGTAGGTTATTTGTGCTTACTAATGTTGACATCGTAATCACGCTTAGCAGTGTACGTCGTAACTCGTTGACACGGCTACGCCTAAAGGTTTTCCTTTATCGCCAGCTCATATTTTGAGGATTTGTATTTATTTGTGTTAAATGTGACATTTCAGTACGACGATTTTAAAAGGCCTCCATGAAGCCTTACGTCTCGAGTGCCACTCCGCCGACGAGGGTAGTTTAGTTTTGCAGTCCCAGCGCTGCCGGCCGGCCTCCGCTTCATTGTCAGACTGTCGTCGACGACATAATGGTTCTAGTTTTCTTTTGTCGTCGAGGACCGAGAGATGTTTGCCTTTTATTTTCCTCTTTGCGTTTCCGCGTAAAACCGGTGACCGACCCGACTACACGTCTAAGGCGACAGTTTTTCTTTACACAGTATAAAACGGCTACCGCCTGAGACGGGCCTCATCGCGCCGAGTGCTTCCCCTTTTTATTGCTTCACGTGTTCCTCGTAAAGTGATATTGAGTAATTAATTATTGTGGCCTCAATATGTGTCCGACGAAACTGCCTTTTTGTCGATTCCGTTTTATGGTCGCCGGCCCGCTCGACTTAGGCCAGCGTGCCCCATTTTGAACTTGACATTATAATGATGGCCGGTCTTTATCTAAGTCAGGAAGTTGTTGCTTTTCAATCACTGTTGAGGACACGATAATGTAGACTGTAACTGTAATGTGTACTGCAACTGCTACTGAAATGCGTAGTTACATAAAATTATACGAAACACACTTAATTTACGTGAGTAGTGATCTGATTTCAAATTGTATTTCTTAAGCCCAACGCTCTAGGTAGACTATTGTGTCGCTTGAAACCAAGTAAAACACATCGGTTGTGTGATATCATTTTGGTATAATCGCTCAACATTTTCGCCTTGTTTATCTTTATAAACATCGCATAATTTTTGTCTTGCGGTGTAATAATATAATATCTTAGCCGAAGTCCTTGACTCGAGTGAAGATTTGAGCGCATACGTTTCCTTAGCAAAACCAGAAGTTTTCTTTTGACTTATGCCGCTTTACCTTCTCTGCTATCATTTACAAGTTTATTACTCAATTGTTACTAAATTATAATTTATGTTCAGTGTTCGTTATAAATGACTACTATTTCCAAACGTACAACGTAGGTCTCGCCTATACACTATTGCCATTATTCTTCTTCTCATTCGTGCACTCAAGTTAGAGTGGTCGTGGTCTGTGATGATGATGTCGTGGTTCGTGGGGTGTCCTCTGTGTTCGAGCATGCTCTAAGGACTATCCTCCTCCATCTTTGAGGGTCTTTTGCATCGCGGCTACCCTGTTCAA